ATTCAGCGCATTTCAGCAGAGCGCGCTCAGGATGTACAGATCGCAACCCATGAAGAATATAGTACACGTTTTTTTGTAATCCGTTAATCCGTTAGGCCCCAACCCTGTAACCATATACCATATATATGAATCATATTGGGTAGCTAATAACACAATAATAACACAATCATGTGACTATGGATTTTTTGGGGACGATTTGTAATGGCCATATGATCTCTACTTAGCAACTCAACACGTGGACTCCTGATTATTTATTGTGTTTCTTCCGTCCAGAAGGAGCGGGCGCTACGGACCACGTGACTAGGGACAAGAACTGTGACTTGCTTTGCTCTTGGGAGCAGGGCGCCTTTGAAAGGAGTGATAGCGGGGTGGCATTAAGTGTTGCGGAAGATCAGATGAAATGGAAGATTCCTGGTGTCTGTGATGCCTGCTGTTTTGTGCGATGCAAACACGGCGGAGCACATGGTGAAACGGAGAAGACATTATCTGGCCTGCTGAGTTTTGATGCAGTCTTTGCCCAAAAAGGTCAAGTTCGGATGTGTTAGTTATCCCATGAGAGCTTTTTGTTCAGAAAATACTACGGTATTTTAGGTGCCAAGCTTATAGTCATGTTGCTGCAGTGTGTAGGAGGGAGATTCCTAGATGTGAGAAATGTGCAGGAGGGCATGAGATGAAGGAATGAGTAGTATCGTTGGAGAAAGTTTTATGTGTAAGCTGTGGGTTGCCCATGGGGCTGGAGATTGGAGGTGTCTGGTGAGAGAAAGGCAGGTTGAGGTCAGAAAGTAGTACAGAAAATGTAATATGCTGAAGAAGTGAAGAGAGTGGTAGAGGAAGATGGGTACATGGTGAGGTTCCTGTGAGTAGGCAGAGACCAAATCAAATCAAATCAAATCAAATCAAATTTTATTGGCCACATGCGCCGAATACAACAGGTGCAGACATTACAGTGAAATGCTTACTTACAGCCCTTAACCAACAGTGCATTTATTTTTAACAAAAAAGTAAAAATAAAACAACAACAAAAAAAGTGTTGAGAAAAAAAGAGCAGAAGTAAAATAAAATAACAGTAGGGAGGCTATATATACAGGGGGGTACCGGTGCAGAGTCAATGTGCGGGGGCACCGGCTAGTTGAGGTAGTTGAAGTAATATGTACATGTGGGCAGAGTTAAAGGGACTATGCATAAATAATTAACAGAGTAGCAGCAGCGTAAAAGGATGGGGTGGGGGGGCAGTGCAAATAGTCCGGGTAGCCATGATTAGCTGTTCAGGAGTCTCATGGCTTGGGGGTAGAAGCTGTTGAGAAGTCTTTTGGACCTAGACTTGGCACTCCGGTACCGCTTGCCGTGCGGTAGCAGAGAGAACAGTCTATGACTAGGGTGGCTGGAGTCTTTGACAATTTTGAGGGCTTTCCTCTGACACCGCCTGGTATAGAGGTCCTGGATGGCAGGAAGCTTGGCCCCAGTGATGTACTGGGCCGTACGCACTACCCTCTGTAGTGCCTTGCGGTCGGAGGCCAAGCAGTTGCCATACCAGGCGGTGATGCAACCAGTCAGGATGCTCTCGATGGTGCAGCTGTATAATTTTTTGAGGATCTGAGGACCCATGCCAAATCTTTTCAGTCTCCTGACAATAGAGAGGGATGGGAATAATATGTGATTCAGTCAGGTGGGTTTCTTAGCATTTATAGCCATGGTTGTCAAGGTTGTACTGCAGAAATGGAACGCAAGTCACAGAAAATAGAGGTTGTGGTGGAAGCTGCACAGAAGTACTTGGGAATTGTGAGGTTTTACTGCAGAAGACTTGCAGGGGGTGTTGAGTGGTAGTGTTCTGTCCTCTTAGACCGTTGGCCTATAGTAGGATTAGATAAGGTTAAATAGTGGAATGGGATGGTGTTTTTTTTAGTGAGGGCTAATAGTTGGCAGGGTAAGTTTCCTTTCCCCCCAATTTTGTATTACCGGAAGTTAATGTAGGTAGGATGTGACTGGCCTCACACTCCAGTACAGTAGGTGGCGGTGTATGCACCTAAAAGTTGGATGCGATCCGCCAACCCAGTCTCAAAGAAGAAGAATAAGCAACGCTGAAGAAGAGCTCCGCAGAGTGCGCAGAGAAGGTAAGCTACTGTATGTTTATTGTCTGTACAATAGTGCCAGAATAGGACGCTAGATAACCCTATGTGAGTTATTTAGCTTTCTACAGCATCAAAACAATAGATTTGGCTATTCTAAAATGATTGACACATTTTCATCCTGAAGTAACGCACGTATCAACTGTTTAGTTAGCTGGCGCTGTTTATAACACTTGTAAACTGTTTCATCAAAAGGTTAGCAGCTACATAGCTAGCTAGCGTGCAACATCTCAAACAACTGCCAGTTCAGTGACTTGATGTCATGGGCTAAATTGTTGAACTAGCTAATGGCTCTACTGGTGGTGGCTAGCTAGCATCTTTGTTTCAACGTTAGCAAGACCAATCGACATTCTGACCTCAGTTGAGTCATGTTAGCTAGCTTACAATATTCCCTTGCCATATCCTCAAATGTATACAAATTAAGATGTAAGACGCATTAGATCAAATCCATGTAAAGTGTTGGAACAATGTCATGGATACAACCAGAACTACTGTTTGATACAGTTTACAGTTAGCTATCTAGTAAACACCAGAATAACTGAACATCTAGCATTGTGTATACTATGAGCTCCTTTGTCTGGCTCTCTCTATGTAATTCCAGGCCTCTTCATTGTTGACTTCCCTCTTTACTATGTGACGCGACTAGGGCCTCCTAATACTAGGCCCCTGCTATGTGGTGCCAGCTATTCACTCTGTTGTTACATGTGTGTCAGTGCTGCCAAAGTCACACACACATTCCCTTATCTCTGGCACTCTGAATAAGGTCACAGCTGAATCAACTGTCAGAGGACTTTTGACCAGTGACCACCAACAGCCCAAGACGACGACAACAACAACAACAACAACAACACATTGGTAAGAAAAGAGCATTGTCACTGCCTGCGTTGACCACTGGGTTGACGACTGCATCTCCCTACCTTATCTGGGAGGCATGGTGCTCCTATTTATACATGCTATGGGTTTATGGTTCTCATTTGGATTTTATTCCCTAACCCGGACGACGCTGGGCTAATTGTGCGCCGCCTCATGGGTCTCCCGGTCGCGGCCAGCTGTGATACAGCCCGGGAACGAACCCGGGTCTGTAGTGACACCTCGCGCCACTCGGGAGGCCTCTCATGTGGACTTGAAGTGGATTGGACCTGATATCATAAGGCACAGAAGCTACATATAATTGTAGTATTTATTGTAGTAGGCTGCTCCTGTTACTGAAGTGACACTGATCTGAAAAGTGTCTGGTGTTTCTGTAGAGATTATTCTGTAGATCTAGCCTAACTTGTGTTGTGAGCTGATGTTCTGCTGGTCATAACTAGGCTACTTGTCAACAAGACATCGGATGGAGAGTCTGTGTATCAAATGCTGCCTTTCTGTTTAGTCCTTCTTCTCCTAAATGTAGAAATATGTTTGAAATGGGTTTTACTTGTCCCTAGGATATTAACACGTTTATATCATATACCCAATCTTTTGTTTACACCATGATGACAGTGTAGAATAATAATGAAGTAAATATTTTGGCCCACAGCAGAATAGAGCATAGACCCACCCACATTAGCCTGAGTGCTCTTTTGCCTCTTCCAAGAAACTCTTGCACAATCTTGGCACATGAGACATTTTCAGACCGCAATAACAAAGGGTACTAATTTATGTGGCCATATTTTCATTTCATGGACCCTTCTTGATGTTTTAATGAATGTAGCTTTAGCAAAGAGTTGAGTTCATTACATTGTCATAATAAGTCAAAGAAATTGGCTAATTATGATGGGTTCTGTTGTCACCCTCAAAGATGTAGGCTATGCCTACTACTACGCTTAAACTCTACCATATTAAGTTTATACAGGGATGAGCCGAGGATTCATCATAAAATCTATATGCTTTTTGCTATGTTGAAGTTGTATCTGATATGATATGTTGTGCTGGGTTTGCACTAATTTCTGGACTTCTGCTCTTATTAAAGAGATAGTTTGAGATTTAGGCAATTAAGCTATTTCTTCTACTTGCAGTGTTATTTTCAGTTATCTGCATTTATGCCCTTTGCAAGCATAGTATTGTAAGTATCATAACAACGTTGGCTATTATACGATGAGAGAAATGTTTAAAGGTTGTGGCATTATTTTTTACACTTGTTATGAGCAAACTTACAACGCTAGCTAACTAACGTTACTGTTCTATAGTTCTGCTTTCTAACTTGGCTACTGTTATGTAACGTCTGTTTATGTGGTCCTCTGTAGCTCAGCTGGTAGAGCACGGCGCTTGTAATGCCAGGGTAGTGGGTTCGATCCCCGGGACCACCCATACACAAAAATAAAAAATGTATGCACGTATGACTGTAAGTCGCTTTGGATAAAAGCGTCTGCTAAATGGCATATTATTATTATTTATTTCTACGGTGTTGTTCTTAAATGTTAGGTTTACCATGTTATTGTTCAGAGTTAAGAAATGTTTCCTTTCTGTATTTTCATTTTAAGAAAAAAGCAACTCCTCTCTCTTATGGATTTATTGGGCAACTGTTTATGCTAGCTGTCAACCTGTACCCCAGAACACAGTGGGGACAGCATACCCATAGTCAGATGAGCATGCTAGCTGATCCCATAGACTTTCAGTCATTGCACTCATGCTAGTTGGCAATTGCTCCATTAACACTAATTTCCTTCAACTTAATTCAAACTGCACGTAGAGACATACAAATGATATCCGTGAGTTCATCTGACTGGGTAAATTGAAAAATGGATTAGTTGCCAAAATCTCAAACTATAATAATAATATGCCATTTAGCAGACGCTTTTATCCAAAGCGACTTACAGTCATGTGTGCATACATTTTTACGTATGGGTGGTCCCGGGGATCGAACCCACTACCCTGGCGTTACAAGCGCCATGCTCTACCAATTGAGCTACAGAGAACTATCCCTTCAGACTATTGTCATTGAAATTTGGACTACTATTTACAAAAGCACTACTTCTATATCTATATATGTGCACATACTGTATCTAGGCTATGTGCCTCTCATGTAGGCTACCCCACCCACTCAATAGTGAGTCAGTTTTGAATGTGTGGGTCTTGTTTTGGGGTTCTGTCTTTGGCAGAGACTGGCAAATAGTGTCTGTCTGAGTGACAGGACCAAGCTGTCTGCAGAAAAGATGGAGGACTCTGTAAATGCGGAGAGTGTCGCCAATGGAGGAGGCCTGGTGAACGCAGAGAAAGAGCCAGAAGACACTCTCAGGTACAGAAATCTGGGATGGTCTAACTTCACTTCAATGCTATTTCTGAAACTAGATGGGGGCTGGGGAATTTCTGGAAGTGAGAGGTGTCCTTTCTCATGTGTATGTTAAAGTGCCAGGGTGTGGGCAGGGTATGTTTCAGTTCTGTCAGATTTGGTCTGTCTCTTTATTTCTGAGGAGAGTCGAAAACACAATGGGCACGTTTCCCGGACACAGATTACGCCTTCTCCTGGAGTAAAAAGCATGCTCAATGGACAATAAGCTACATTGAACGTTGTTTTTGTTGTTGTGCAGAACTAAGATTAATCTGGGTTTGGGAAGCCAGCCCTATGGGTAATTTAGTTAGTGTGTGCCTCTAGTTGCCCATGCGTTGTCAGCCAATGTGTCCTCCCCACAGCCCCACAGACCTTTCTGAACTGCTGGCTGCCGGGACCAAAGAGGTTCACGAGAAGGCTGAGAACACCCAGTTTGTCAAGGACTTCCTCAGGGGGCGCATCCGCAAGGAGCTCTTCAAGGTCAGTCTGGAGAATAGAGCAGCCACATAAAAGGACTCCTCAGAGAAATGTCTTTTCTGAGACTTAGTACAGCTGCATTCACTGTCTTGAACAGTATGCATAATCTGATTTACCCACAGCAGTCAGTTTTAAGGGTGTAGGCATTTTGATCTAACTTTGACATCCTCACTTTGCAAACGCTTTGTAAGATAATACTGTCAAGAATCGTGATGGGTCTTTCAGAACCACTGGTAATGAACAACCACTGTACTGAACAACGATCTCCTGTAAAGCTTTAAAGAACATGAAGTGCTTTGACATACTCACTTTGTGAGACTTTGCCAGGATACAGAAAGGGATGTATCTTGAAAACGTGAATGTTGACGCACAGTATTTGAGGGACTGTCAATTATTTGAAAATAAAATATTTGGGGTAAAATTGTCCTTTTATTCTCTTCCTGTGTCCCTGCATCTCTCCTCCCCCTCAGCTGGGCGATGTGGCCCTCTACTACACCTACGAAGCCATGGAGGAGGAGATCGAGAGGAACAAGGATCATCCTGACTTCTCCCCGCTCTACTTCCCAGAGCTGAATAGACGTGACGCCCTGGCCCGCGACCTGGACTACTTCTATGGTGAGGACTGGCGGGAGCGGGTCAGCTGCTCGCCAGCCACGCAACGCTACGTGGAACGCATCCACAAGGTGGGTAACCCAGAGGTTAGAGAAGTGGACCGGAAACCGGAAGGTCGCTGGTTCAAGTCCCAGGCTAGACGATTAAAAAAGTGGGGACTGAACTGGCTACTGGAGGGCTGCTAGTTTCAGATTCACATTACCACCATCCACTACCGTTGTGCCTTTATGCAAGGCACTTAATGCCTAAAACTACTCCATGGGTGCTGCACTGCAGCTGACCCTGTGCTGCTTCAATCCTCTGGTGTATGTGTGGAGTCCAGGGGAGGTTGAGAATAACAGAAGACAGCCAAAAGGCAAGAACATTGGACAATGAAGTTGTATTTGTATTGTAGGTGGGTCAGGAAGAGCCGGTCTTGCTGGTCGCCCATGCCTACACTCGCTACATGGGCGACCTGTCCGGGGGCCAGGTGCTGAAGAAGGTGGCCCAGCGGGCGCTGAAGCTGCCAGCGACGGGCGAGGGCGTCTACTTCTACCAGTTTGACGGCATCCACAGCGCCAAGGCCTTCAAACAGCTGTACAGGAGCCGGATGAATGAGTTGGAGCTGGACATGGCGACCAAGGACAGGCTGGTGGCGGAGGCCGTGCTGGCCTTTCAGTTCAACATGGAGGTGAGGAAGGGAAGAGAGAGAGACCTTCTGGTGTGGTGGGTCTTCTAGTAAACAGAGACTGCTGCACCTTCTGGTGTGGTGGGTCTTCTAGTAAACAGAGACTGCTGCACCTTCTGGGGTGGTGGGTCTTCTAGTAATTCCTTCTAGGTAATGGCTGGAAATATTGCCATCTCATATCTGTGGTTCCTTGAGTGGCGCAGCGGTCTAGAGGCGTCACTACAGATCCAGGTTCCATCCTGGCTGTATCACAACCGGCCGTGATTGGGAGTACTATAGCGCGGCGCACACAATTTGGCCCAGCGTCGTCCGGGTTAGGGGAGGGTTTGGCCGGGGTAGGCCGTCATTGTAAATAAGAAATTGTTCTTAACTGACTCGCCTAGTTAAATAAAGGTTAAATAAAAAAAGAGACGTTTAATTTTCAGAGGAAGCCAGGTCGCATTAGTTTAGTTTCAGAGGTAGGTCACAGTAGTTTAGTTTCAGAGGTAGGTCACAGTAGTTTAGTTTCAGAGGTAGGCCACAGTAGTTTAGTTTCAGAGGTAGGCCACAGTAGTTTAGTTTCAGAGGTAGGCCACAGTAGTTTAGTTTCAGAGGTAGGCCACAGTAGTTTAGTTTCAGAGGTAGGCCACAGTAGTTTAGTTTCAGAGGTAGGCCACAGTAGTTTAGTTTCAGAGGTAGGCCACAGTAGTTTAGTTTCAGAGGTAGGCCACAGTAGTTTAGTTTCAGAGGTAGGCCACAGTAGTTTAGTTTCAGAGGTAGGCCACAGTAGTTTAGTTTCAGAGGTAGGCCACAGTAGTTTAGTTTCAGAGGTAGGCCACAGTAGTTTAGTTTCAGAGGTAGGCCACAGTAGTTTAGTTTCAGAGGTAGGCCACAGTAGTTTAGTTTCAGTGTTAGTTTCATAGATGGGCATTTTTCAGTATTGTATCATTAAATGATTACTTAAATCTCAATAACCAGCCACTGTATTGATCCTGTCTTTGGAGATAAGAGTCTTGTGCCCAGGGAACATTTTTGGCCAACAGCAGATGGTTGGATTTGTGCTTATCACCGTAACCACTGCCAACTGGTTCTGAGAGTGTAGCCAGACAATGCGCCATCTATTATATTTCAATTTCAAGTGCCCAGATATGATCATTAATTCACTTCCTCGCATCTGGCTTCTGATTACATTACATGAATGTCAAATGTTGAACTTGATCATATTCTTGTTACGGTTCTGCATCATGGCAAATGGCCATTTATTTTACCAGTGGCACCTCCTTAAGTGAAATATCACTCCTTTCACTCTCCCACCTACCCACCCATAATGTGAAACTTTGTGGTAAATTCTGGGCCATCAGAATTCAGCTTACTGTTTCAGTTCAGGGATTGTGTTCATCAGGACACACAATAGCAAACTGTTCCAAAGCAATAACGAAAATAAGCTTTCCTTATTGGACATTTTCAGACGGTACCTCCCTGTTTGACCTTTTTTTCTGTTTCGTGCTGAGTGAACACGAACCAGTTGTAATCCCCTGTCTTTTGTGTGTTTGGTGTCAGGTATTTGATGAGCTAGAGGAGATGGGTAAGGATATCCAGGAGGAGGTCATGGACGCGGGCATGCCCGTTCACGGGGCCCATGGGACCGGAGGAGACCTCAACAAATGCCCCTACTACGCCGCACAAATGGGTACGCTAACACACAACTCCTGTAGGCTCTGTCTGGAAACAGTTATTTGATCCAGAAAACCACCTGAAAGAAAGTTGTTGTGCCATGTTAGCAATACGTGGGCATTTAGAACCAATACCCTTTCCACACTGTCATGCTGGCTTGGATATTTGCTTTTCACATTGTCCTATCCAGCATGGCTTCAGCAACTATGGTGGCTTCCTAACTAGGCCAGTGCAGTACAGCTTGGCTTGGCCTGGCTTAAAACTGGTATAAGAGTGTTTCAGATGGTAATGTGGGAGGTTTGCTTACCGTGTTCTTTGTCCTCTGTCTATCTCAGCGGCCAGTGGGGGCTCGGCGTACGTCGGTCAGCTGGCCATGGCCGTCCTCAGACACCCCACAGGCCAGGTCCTATTCGCCGCCTGGGTCGCTGCCCTCGCCGGATTGGCTGCGTGGTACTTCATGTGATCTGACCCCACAGCCAATCGTTGGCTGTCCTGCAGGAAAGAAGGAGGGAAGAAAGGAAGAATTGTTTTCTGAACGTTTGGATGAGAACCCGTCCGTACCCAGACCTTGTAACCCCTCCTCCCCTCCTCTCGTTTTCTCTCTCTCTACTACCTCCCTCTCACTCTCCCTCCGTCCTGTATCCTCCCAGTATGGTTGGTCATATTTGTAGCTCTTAGTATCATTTTAGAGCCATTTTTTTTTATTCAATCCTGTTATAGGATTTATTTCTTCTTGAGTTGACATGAGGTGACAATTGATCTTACTTGATTAGATTATAGTGTGATTTGTTGTCAGGTTGAAGTCTCTTTTATAATCCCAAACAATTGTATTATCGAGTGATGCAGTAGAGTTAGAGTGAAAAAACAGCTACCCCGCTATGACAAAAAAGGCTTTGTGGATTTTGACACTTTTAGCTTGCCATGGGGACTTGGACTATATTCTGTTGTCCCCTGGGTGGCCCCACAATCCGTCCATCAAACCAAAATGTCATCTTGAAAATATGAGAGCGGTGAGCCTCAGTGCTTGAAGTGGACTGAATTAGGTGCTGGTACTGAAGAAGTAGAACATTTGAGGTGCTGGCACTCTGTACCGGTGAGCACCAGCCCAACTCAAACACTGCTGAGCCGTATACAGTAAAAGTAACAAGTTCTATGCATATGTTAATATGCAGACCTGGCAAAGTGCAGGAGTGTTTCTGCAGGGCAGACTACTATGTCTTGCGTGAGTAGGTTGAGAGGCATCTTTTTAAGTTTGTGTTAATGGTTATGGGGGCGATACTCTCTTGGAAGTAGTCCCAAGATTCGGTTACGGACAACACAGGCTAACTGACAGCAAGAGCACACTTTATAGAAAGGTCTAGACTTTAAAATGTCTGCCAACGGTTGGCACACATCACAATGTATTATTTTTCTCTTCTCTCAAAATGAATGCAGGCAGAAAATTCCAACCTCCTGTGAAAAGCACACAGACAGTGAGTGAGTGACAGGATGGACACCTTTTAGTTCTCGTGTTTTAGGATGGACGAGCAATATTACTATTAATAATTTCTGAAGTGTATTTTTTGTTTTATGCTACGTTGTATTTAGTTATCTAGTGCTGTCCAGTCCCTTGTCCTTTGCATTGCACTCAGACAGTCTACAGGGGTACAGCGTGTCTGAAAACGGACACATCCGTCCTGGAAACGTGTATAAAGTTGATTTTCAGTATTGTTCTAGGCCTGTGGACACCAGGTAGAGGCAGCGAATACAGCAGCTAGTGTAATGGTCTGGGAGACAGGGCAGGACAGGTGAGATGAGATCAGGAAAGATTGGTGAAGACAAGGTACCTCATTAGTCTGAATGGATAACATTGAAGACTTAAAAGCTATGCACCAACCTGATGAGGTTGGGCCATCGTTGTTTAGTTGTGGAGGAGAGCAGTGTGTTGTGCAGGTGACCATAAGTTTATATCTGAGGAATTATAAGGCCACTACAGTATTTAGCAGATCCTATTCAGGTTTCACACTGACATCAACGTTACATTCCTTGATTTGTTTGTAGTTTTAACATTGAAGACAACAGTTTGCGTTGTATTCTATGCTTTCGCTTGAAGATGAAGAGATTAATGGTCAGAATGCTGAATACCAAAGGTCAAGTTGCTGACATCACATGACGTTATCTCGGTTCAATATTTAAACAGGTTCTATGCTGTGTGTTTTCAGGTCTGTGGTTCTCTCCTATCCATCTCTGGTGTATTTGGTAGTCATTGAATCCTTTGCAGGTGTTCGATGACATTATGTGTTCAGTAGCCCTCCATCGGAGGCGTTGAAGGCCTTTACCAGGTCGTGTTCATTGGGTATCAACAAAACAGAATGAAACAGGGATTATCTGGATTAGTCCAATAAGACATTTTTGATTTCCGTGGCTTAACTTTGTAAAACTTTTGCATTAATGAACATGACCCAGGTGTAGTTATGGCTGTCCAGACCAGTCTAGAGCCTCATTACACAGTCATGTACCTGTTGGGTCTCGGGTTCTTAATGGTTTATGTTAACACTCCCGAGTGGCGCAGTGGTCTAAGGCACTGCATCGCAGTGCTAGCTGTGCCACTAGAGATCCTGGTTCGAATCCAGGCTCTGTCGTAGCTGGCCGTGACCGGGAGACCCATGGGGCGGCGCACAATTGGCCCAGCGTCGTCCAGGGTAGGGGAGGGAATGGCCAGCAGGGATGTAGCTCAGTTGGTAGAGCATGGCGTTTGCAACGCCAGGGTTGTGGGTTCGATTCCCACGGGGGGCCAGTATGAAAAAATAAAAAAATAAAATAAAAAAAGCACTAACTAACTAAGTCGCTCTGGATAAGAGCGTCTGCTAAATGACTAAAATGTAAATGTAATGCAATTACAGTAGGGGGAAAAAAGTATTTAGTCAGCCACCAATTGTGCAAGTTCTCCCACTTAAAAAGATGAGAGAGGCCTGTAATTTTCATCATAGGTACACGTCAACTATGACAGACAAAATGAGAAAGAAAAATCCAGAAAATCACATTGTAGGATTTTTAATGAATTTATTTGCAAATTATGGTGGAAAAGTAAGTATTTGGTCAATAACAAAAGTTTCTCAATACTTTGTTATATACCCTTTGTTGGCAATGACACAGGTCAAACGTTTTCTGTAAGTCTTCACAAGGTTTTCACACACTGTTGCTGGTATTTTGGCCCATTCCTCCATGCAGATCTCCTCTAGAGCAGTGATGTTTTGGGGCTGTCGCTGGGCAACACGGACTTTCAACTCCCTCCAAAGATTTTCTATGGGGTTGAGATCTGGAGACTGGCTAGGCCACCCCAGGACCTTGAAATGCTTCTTACGAAGCCACTCCTTCGTTGCTGGGCGGTGTGTTTGGGATCATTGTCATGCTGAAAGACCCAGCCACGTTTCATCTTCAATGCCCTTGCTGATGGAAGGAGGTTTTCACTCAAAATCTCACGATACATGGCCCCATTCATTCTTTCCTTTACACGGATCAGTCGTCCTGGTCCCTTTGCAGAAAAACAGCCCCAAAGCATGATGTTTCCACCCCCATGCTTCACAGTAGGTATGGTGTTCTTTGGATGCAACTCAGCATTCTTTGTCCTCCAAACACGACGAGTTGAGTTTTTACCAAAAAGTTATATTTTGGTTTCATCTGACCATATGACATTCTCCCAATCCTCTTCTGGATCATCCAAATGCACTCTAGCAAACTTCAGACGGGCCTGGACATGTACTGGCTTAAGCAGGGGGACACGTCTGGCACTGCAGGATTTGAGTCCCTGGCGGCATAGTGTGTTACTGATGGTAGGCTTTGTTACTTTGGTCCCAGCTCTCTGCAGGTCATTCACTAGGTCCCCCCGTGTGGTTCTGGGATTTTTGCTCACCGTTCTTGTGATCATTTTGACCCCACGGGGTGAGATCTTGCGTGGAGCCCCAGATCGAGGGAGATTATCAGTGGTCTTGTATGTCTTCCATTTCCTAATAATTGCTCCAACAGTTGATTTCTTCAAACCAAGCTGCTTACCTATTGCAGATTCAGTCTTCCCAGCCTGGTGCAGGTCTACAATTTTGTTTCTGGTGTCCTTTGACAGATCTTTGGTCTTGGCCATAGTGGAGTTTGGAGCCTCTTAAAGAAGAAGTTACAGGTCTGTGAGAGCCAGAAATATTGCTTGTTTGTAGGTGACCAAATACTTATTTTCCACCATAATTTGCAAATAAATTCATTAAAAGTCCTACAATGTGATTTTCTGGAATTTTGACGTGTACCTATGATGAAAATTACAGGCCTCTCTCATCTTTTTAAGTGGGAGAACTTGCACAATTGGTGGCTGACTAAAAACTTTTTTCCCCCGCTGTATATTGCAAGACTTGTCTTATTTGAGTTCAATGTAAATTCTATTTTTTCTCTTAATTTTAGGATTTGTTTTCAGGGGATGGAACTGTTGCAGTATTTAGAACATTTGAGGAGTTCTGGAATGACCTGGGTTGTGTTCAGTAGGCACTAAACTGAAGAAAATACAAAACAGGGAGGGACTAACTGGACTTGTGCCCTAAAACGTGTGCCCTAATGAACACGATCCATAATCTCAGGTGTGAGTGTTGTTGGCGATGGACTAACGGAAGCCTGGTGATCTCAGTGAGCGCTTGACAGGCACACGTTGCGTGGCTCTTTCTTGCCTTGTCGGTTGTAACAGAAAGCAAACCGTAACCGTGTTATCGAACCCATTAGTCTTGTACAGTACACTGCAATCTAACTCAAATTAACCTTTATCAGTGACTGATGATTTACAACAAATGTCAATGGTCTCATTGTGAAAGAAGAAAATCACAGGAATACATCATATTGTCTGTAGTAAAATAAATAATTGAATTTCCTTTATACTTTTGTTGTCATTTCATGTGTTGGGAGGGGAAGTTGAGACATTTGATCTGTTTGAATACTTCAAACGTTCATCTTTCATTCCTTGTGTCCTTAATATAGCACAGATCTATTAGTGGTTGGATATGTGCAAGTAATGTTACTTGCACTGATCCAACTGATTCAGATCTGTTAATACTTCAAGGAAGGAAGGATATCTGAAGTAATAGACCAGGGTCATTGGCCCGTTCTACAGCTGTACAGTAGTTTAGTATTTCTGCTCTCTGTGTTCTCCACATCTGGCAGCAATAAGACACTAAACATCAATTCATTTAGATTTCACTTTTATTATAGATAGTATGTTATTTATTTCTCTAACATGTGACACATTGGTACGGTTGCAATATGAACAGCTGTCTATTTACATATGTAACAAGGCAGAATGGGGGTACATGAAAGTATGTGCTGCTTTGAGTGAATTCTCAGATTCATCAAGAGCGAGGGGGTTGACGAGGGGCAGAGTAGGAGGACAGAGCAGAGGTCCAGCCACATCTGATCCAACTGGTCCAGTCATACCTATCCTGGATGTCTGGGTTCTCACACAACCAAATGCATCTCCACACACATTACACACTATTTTTTTTAACCTTAATGTAATGGAGAAGGCTATCAGCCAGACAACTTCCTCTTTATCTCACCTTAGCTGTTTCACAGTACTAATGCGGTTATGAGGTTGGTACAACTCGCTGCTGTGGTTCGCTAGACAGGAAGCATACAGATCATAGAGGAATCCGAACAAACAGCTGAGTTACTACACATTTCAAAAATCAGGAGGATTTCAACCAAAACAAAGTTCCTTATTGCATCCGAGTCCTTTTAAATAAAATATTGATTTTCTATGCTTTAGGATTCTTATACACTAAGTGTACAAAACATTAGGAATAACTGCTCTTTCCATGACAGACCGACCAGGTGAAAGCTATGATCCCATATTAATTACACTTAAATCCACTCCAATCAGTGTAGATGAAAGGGAGGTGACAGGTTAAATAAGGATTTTTAAGCCTAGAGACAATTGAGACATGGATTGGTTGTGTGCCATTCAGACGGTGAATGGGCAAGACAAAAGATTTGAGTGCCTTTGAACGGTGTGTGGTGGTAGGTGCCAGGCGCACCAGTTTGAGTGTCAAGAACTGCAACACTGCTGGGTTTTTCACGCTCAACAGTTTCCCGTGTATATCAAGAATGGTCCACCACCCATAGGACATCCAGCCAACTTGACACAACTGTGGGAAGCATTGAGTCAACATGGGCCAGCATCCCTGTGGAATGCATGACACATTGTAGAGTCCATGCCCAACGAATTGAGGATGTTCTGAGGGCAAAAGTGGATGCAATTCAATATTAGGAAGGTGTTCCTAATGTTTTGTATATCCGTGTTTTTTTTGGCAATCACTGGAAACAGTGCATTCCTCAGAGAAGACAGCAGAAAGACCATACTTTGAGTGACTGCTGCTGCTACCACACGGTTAGGAATCTGATGGACAGGAACATTTGGAAAATCTATGGAATACCCTGTGAACGTAGCCGCACCTTTCGCTTTACTTCCGGATGATGTCCCTTAATCTTTTGTATGGGCTTCATGATTATATCGGCACATTTGTTAACACACGGTCATTTAAGATATGTATAATTATATTATATTTATATTAATTTACTTCTAACCGATGGCTTTTATGAAATATTTGTGCTTGAAGACCATTGCGCAACATTTTTGCACATTGAACACCATCCAAAAAACTACAAGGCTAAGGGGCAGTCACTTCCTGGTAACTTTCATAGCGTAGGCAGCAGGAGTGAGTTAGGACCACATTCTGTTTGAGTCTGTTTCATTCCATTGTCTTCTACTGCTAGGGAACTGATCAAGGACGAAGGTAGATCTGTGAAGGTAGATCTGGGCTAACCAGACTAGTACAGTGCCAGAGTAGGATACAGTAGACATCATCCCTCCAACACTCCCCCATATCTGGTCTCTCCTTATGGCCATGTAGCTGTCTTCTCTACCTCGGCCACTCGCCTCTCCAATATCTCCTCTCAGTTCCCAGTGGACCTTTTACCTTTCAGTAAAATTAAATAAAAAAGACAAAAACAGAATTACTGCATGTGTTTGCAAAACAAGCATAGGACAAACTACTGTACCTCCACCCATTGAAATAGAGTCACAGCTGAACATTGATTTGACTGGGGATGACTTTTCTAGTTATTATACACTGCTCAAAAAAATAAAGGGAACACTAAAATAACACATCCTATATCTGAATGAATGAAATAATCATATTAAATACTTTTTTCTTTACATAGTTGAATGTGCTGACAACAATCACACACAAATTATCAATGGAAATCAAATGTATCAACCCATGGAGGTCTGGATTTGGAGTCACCCTCAAAATTAAAGTGGAAAACCACACTACAGGCTGATCCAACTTTGATGTAATGTCCTTAAAATAAGTCAAAATGAGGCTCAGTAGTGTGTGTGGCCTCCACGTGCCTGTATGACCTCCCTACAACGCCTGGGCATGCTCCTGATGAGGTGGCGGATGGTCTCCTGAGGGATCTCCTCCCAGACCTGGACTAAAGCATCCGCCAACTCCTGGACAGTCTGTGGTGCAACGTGGCGTTGGTGGATGGAGCGAGACATGATGTGCTCAATTGGATTCAGGTCTGGGGAACGGGCAGGCCAGTCCATAGCATCAATGCCTTCCTCTTGCAGGAACTGCTGACACACTCCAGCCACATGAGGTCTAGCATTGTCTTGCATTAGGAGGAACCCAGGGCCAACCGCACCAGCATATGGTCTCACAAGGGGTCTGAGGATCTCATCTCAGTACCTAATGGCAGTCAGGCTACCTCTGGCGAGCACATGGAGGGCTGTGCGGCCCCCCAAAGAAATGCCACCCCACACCATGACTGACCCACCGCCAAACCGGTCATGCTGGAGGATGTTGCAGGCAGCAGAACGTTCTCCACGGCGTCTCCAGACTCTGTCACGTCTGTCACATGTGCTCAGTGTGAACCTGCTTTCATCTGTGAAGAGCACAGGGCGCCAGTGGCGAATTTGCCAATCTTGGTGTTCTCTGACAAATGCCAAACGTCCTGCACGGTGTTGGGCTGTAAGCACAACCCCCACCTGTGGACGTCGGGCCCTCATACCAACCTCATGGAGTCTGTTTCTGACCGTTTGAGCAGACACATGCACATTTGTGGCCTGCTGGAGGTCATTTTGCAGGGCTCTGGCAGTGTTCCTCCTGCTCCTCCTTGCACAAAGGCGGAGGTAGCAGTCCTGCTGCTGGGTTGTTGCCCTCCTACGGCCTCCTCCACGTCTCCTGATGTACTGACCTGTCTCCTGGTAGCGCCTCCATGCTCTGGACACTACGCTGACAGACACAGCAAACCTTCTTGCCACAGCTCGCATTGATGTGCCATCCTGGATGAGCTGCACTACCTGAGCCACTTGTGTGGGTTGTAGACTCCGTCTCATGCTACCACTAGAGTGAAAGCACCGCCAGCATTCAAAAGTGACCAAAACATCAGCCAGGAAGCATAGGAACTGAGAAGTGGTCTGTGGTCACCACCTTCAGAACCACTTCTTTATTGGGGGTGTCTTGCTAATTGCCTATAATTTCCACCTGTTGTCTATTCCATTTGCACAACAGCATGTGAAATGTATTGTCAATCAGTGTTGCTTCCTAAGTGGACAGTTTGATTTCACAGAAGTGTGATTGACTTGGAGTTACATTGTGTTGTTTAAGTGTTACCTTTATTTTTTTGAGCAGTGTATTTCTATGGTTAAACCATCGTGTGTATGCATGTACACTACATGACCAAAAGTATGTGGACACCTGTTCGTGGAACATCTCATCTCAAAATCATGGGCATTAATATGGAGTTGGTCCCCCCCTTTGCTGCTATAACAGCCTCCAGTCTTCTGGGAAAGCTTTCCACTATAAGTTGGAACATTGCTGCGGGGACTTGCTTCCATTCACCCACAAGAGCATTAGTAAGGTTAGCAACTGATGTTGGGCGATTAGGCCTGGCTCGCAGTAGGCGTTCCAATTCATCCCAAAGGTGTTCGATGGGGTTGAGGTCAGGGCTCTGTGCAAGCCAGTCAAGTTCTTCCACAACAATCTCAACAAACCATTTCTGTATGGACCTCGCTTTGTGCACGGGGGAATTGTCATGCTGAAACAGGACAGGGCCTTCCCCAAACTGTTGCCACAAAGTTGGAAGCACAGAATCATCTAGAATGTAATTGTATGCTGTAGCGTTAAGATTTCCCTTCACTGGAACTAAGGGGTCTAGGCCGAACCATGAAAAACAGCCCCAGACCATTATTCCTCCTCCACCTAACTTTATAGTTGGCACTATGCAGTTGGGTAGGGAGTGTTCTCCTGGCATCCGCAAAATCCAGATTCGTCCGTTGGACTGCCAGATGGTGAAGCGTGATTCATCACTCCAGAGAACGTGTTTCCACTGCTCCAGAGTCCAATCGAGGCGAGCTTTACACCACTCCAGCCGACGCTTGGCATTGCGCATGGTGATCTTAGGCTTGTGTGCAGCTGCTCGGCCATGGAAACCCATTTCATGAAGCTCCCGACGAACAGTTATTGTGCTGACGTTGCTTCCAGAGGCAGTTTGGAACTCAGTAGTGAGTGTTGCAACTGAGGACAGACGGTTTTTACGCGCTACGTGCTTCAGCACTCGGTGGTCCCGTTCTGTGAGCTTGTGTGGCCTACCCGTTTGCGGCTGAGCCGTTGTTGCTCCTAGACGTTTTCCACTTCACAATAACAGCACTTACAGTTGACCGGGGCAGCTCTGGCAGGGCAGAAATTTGACAAACTGACTTGTTGGAAAGCTGGCATCCTATGACAGTGCCACGTTGAAAGTCACTGAGCTCTTCAGTAAGGCCATTCTACTGCCAATTTTTGTCTATGGAGATTGCATGGCTGTGGCTGAAATAACCGAATCCACTAATTTGAAGGGGTGTCCACATACTTTTGTATGTATGTATGCATGCACCTTTATACAGATGACAGCCACAAACCAGCTGACTGACAAATGGTGTGCCACGAACCAGTTTGTTCCAGAAACAAACTGTGTATCCCACATATGCATGTCCACAAGTGGCAAAGGAGACATCATGACTAGAGTGTCCTACCTGGTTTGTGACTGTCAGGTGGAGCTAAACCATTTTTTTAACTTGGTGAAGAAGCCCTGCTCCTCCTTGCTCTCTCCTCCCTCCTCTTGCCTGTCCTGACCTGCCCCAGACTCCTTACCACTGCTGCCCCCACCTGGTCAGAAACATGTACTGCGTGAGCCAAGATTTCACTAATTTCACATTATCAGCCTTGATCAGCAGAGCTGGGACCTCAACTAATTGTAAACCAAATGAAGTGAAGCAGGTAAGTGTGCAGTCAGTGTGTAGGAACCTAGCGCAGAAACAGTGTGTGTGTGCCACTACCTGCAGTGGTGCTGGTGACACCATTGACAGTCCCCTCCACTTCAGTCTCGTCCTCTGCGTAGCTCATGAGCAGAGCTTTCTGTCTGTCTGTCAGGGTCCTGCACACACACACACACACACACACAAGAGTGGAGATGAGCATCTAACATTTGTCAGTAACTTACTACAGAGATGTTATCTGAAGGTGTATTGTCAGTAACTTACTACAGAGATGTTATCTGAAGGTGTATTGTCAGTAACTTACTACAGAGATGTTATCTAAAGGTGTATTGTCAATAGCTTACTTGGGGACTCTGACTTTGACGTGGACGTAGTGATCTCCGTAACCATAGCCACTGATCCGTGCGATGCCCTTCCCAGAGAGGAGGATTCTCTGGTCTGTCTGGATCCCAGCAGGGATCTACAAGAGGATCCACCAATCACAGTTAGTTACTGGCCATCGATCCATCACTCCTATGTCTGTACAGTTGAAGTCTGAAGTTTACATCCACCTTAGCCAAATACATTTAAACTCAGTTGTTCACAATTCCTGACATTTAATCCTAGTAAAATTTCCTTGTTTTAGGTCAGTTAGGAACACCACTTTATTTTAAGAATGTGAAATGTCAGAATAATAGTGGAGAGAATTATTTATTTCAGCTTTTATTTATTTCAACACATTCCCAGTGGGTCAGAAGTTTATATACACTCAATTAGTATTTGGTAGCATTGTCTTTAAATTGTTTAACTTGGGTCAAACGTTTCAGGTAGCCTTCCACAAGCTTCCCACAATAAATTGGGTGAATTTTGGCCCATTCCTCCAGACAGACCGGGTGTAACTGAGTCAGGTTTGTAGGCCTCCTTGCTCGCACATGCCTTTTCAGTTCTGCCCACACATTTTCTATAGGATTGAGGTCAGGGCTTTATGATGGCCACTCCAATACCTTGACTTTGTTGTCCTTAAGCCATTTTGCCACAACTTTGGAAGTATGCTTGGGGTCATTGTCCATTTGGAAGACCCATTTGCGACCAAGCTTCCTGACTGATGTCTTGAGATGTTGCTTCAGTATATCCACATAATTTTCCTTCCTCATGATGCCATCTATTTTGTGAAGTGCACCAGTCCCTCCTGCAGCAAAGCACCCCCACAGCATGATGCTGCCACCCCCGTGCTTCACGGTTGGGATGGTGTTCTTTGGCTTGCAAGCATCCCACTTTTTCCTCCAAACATAACGATAGTCATTATGGCCAAACAGTTCTATTTTTGTTTTATCAGACCAGAGGACATTTCTCCAAAAAGTATGATCTTTGTCCCCATGTGCAGTTGCAAACCATCTGGCTTTTTTATGGCGGTTTTAGAGCGGTGGCTTCTTCCTTGCTGAGCGGCCTTTCAGGTTATGTCGATATAGGACTCGTTTTACTGTGGATATAGATACTTTTGTACCGGTTTCCTCCAGCATCTTCACAAGGTCCTTTGCTGTTCTGGGATTGATTTGCACTTTTCGCACCAAAGTACGTTCATCTCTAGGAGACAGAACGCGTCTCCTTCCTGAGCAGTATGACGGTTGCGTGGTCCCGTGGTGTTTATACTTGCGTACTATTGTTTGTACAGATGAACGTGGTACCTTCAGGCGTTTGGAAATTGCTCCCAAGCATGAACCAGACTTGTGGAGGTCTACAATTTTATTTCTGAGGTCTTGGATGATTTCGATTGATTCTTTTGAGGCCTTGAAATACATCCACAGGTACACCTCCAATTGAATCAAATTATGTCAATTAGCCTATCAGAAGCTTTTAAAGCCATGACATCATTTTCTGGAATCTTCCAAGCTGTTTAAAGGCGCAGTCAACTTAGTGTATGTAAACTTCTGACCCACTGGAATTGTGATACAGTGAATTATAAGTGAAATAATCTGTCTGTAAACAATTGTTGGAAAAATTATGTGTCATGTACAAAGTAGATGTCCTAACCGACTTGCCAAAACTATAGTTTGTTAACAAGAAATTTGTGGAGTGGTTGAAAACGAGTTTTAATGACTCCAACCTAAGTGTATGTAAACTTCCGACTTCAACTGTATGTATGTATGTATGTATGTATGTATGTATGTATGTATGTATGTATGTATGTATGTGTCACAGAAAGGTTGGTATGTCTGTGTGTCTCTCACCGAGAGGTTGACTGTCTCGTAGAGGCCCTGTGCCCGGGCCGTGCCCCCCAGGACAGCCTGAGCTACAGAGATCATCACATCAGAGTGGATGTCTGCTCCATCCCGTCTGAATACTGGGCTCTTCTGGACCCGGAACGTGATGAACACCTCCTTCTTCCCCACAGGCATCCTGACCGTCTGACCGTCCTCAACACCTGCAAAGAGACAACACAGCCAGTTAAGCCGGGCGTGCACTACACGACTTTCAATATCCTAACATCGCTGAGCCTCTCACATTAAACGTCTTTCCTACGTAGTGGTGCAGACGGGGTCACACACTACACGATGTGGCACAGACGGGGTCACACACTACACGATGTGGCACAGACGGGGTCACACACTACACGATACTTCATACCACCACGCTGTCTCACCCAAACATTTATGCAATTAGATTGTCAACGTAGCTAGAACAAATCAGCCTCAAACATTTTCAGTCAGACATTCACACCTGCCATAGAGTTGAAATATCTAGCCAACATTTTGAATTTTATAACATTGCTTGTGAACTTCAGAGCTGTAACGATTTGACACTTTGGCTTTGGTTAAAGGCAAGTACAAACGCATACTAGTAGTGGTCATGGCTCCTGCTGGAGAGTCTACACATTCTGGGTGACGCAAAACAACGTCATCATCTCAAGGGCTTCTTCTCTGGCCAGCTCTCATTGGCTATTGCTGATCACCGTTCTCAAAACATGTCGTTGCACATCTAACACACTACAAGAGTATTGCAGATTTTGTGCCGATAAAATCAAACATGTTTGAAAATATCAGGACGTCTGGGACTGCTCAAAGACAGGATCGGTAGCCCTCATATTGAGTCTCTGACCCGCTCACATTAAACGTGCGTAGGTGATGGCCGCGCACCCCGAGTAGTCAACGACATGGGGATTTTGTATCTGATCTCAAAAACGTGTCTGGGACAGCTAAATCAAGGCCAAAATTGTGTAGTGTACACCCGGTTTCAGAGACTGATTCATCCAGCATTATAGTTTTATAGAAGTTTTAAACAGTAGGGACTGCTTCATGCAGCATTTTAGAGTTTTATAGAAGTTTCAAACAGTATAAGATCATTATACAATTGGTCAGTGATCTTATTGAGAAAAGGAAGTGTTCATGTGAGAGATTCAGGATGAAAAGGCTGCTTCTGGGTCTCTGTGTGTGTAAGAAAATGCATACTATTTTTAGATCAAGTATTGTTTTGAAAGATTCTAGGTAAGACTGGGTAGGTATAGGAGTGAGTGAGAGTCAGTGTGTGGGTGTACGTGTGTCTCACCTGCTGGCACAGGCACCGTAACTGTCTTTTTCTGTCTGGTTTGTCCGGTCCCGTGACAGGAGTTACAGGGGGTGGAGATCACAGTGCCTTTCCCACTACAGCGACGGCATGTCGACCGCATCACAAAGGGGCCCGTGTTCACCGTCTCCTGCACAGCGCAAAACACACAAGCACGTGAGACAAGCACGTGAGACACGAACACATCACGTCACACATCATGTCACCTACCATGCCAGAGCCGTTGCAGTAGTGGCAGTGCACAACCTTGGTACCCGGCTCGCTCCCTTTGCCTTCACAGCGCTGGCAGCTGGCCTCAGTGTTGAACGCCATCTCTTTGTTGACCCCCTTGGCAGCTTGGTTGAACGTCAGCTCCATGATAAACTGGGAGGAAAGCAGGGACAAGAGATTAATCTTGGATGTCCTTAACAAAAGGTTTACACTCCTAAAAAAAGAATTACTTCCTGCTTTTACTTCCTGGCATGGGCTCACTCAATATGGCCTCACTGAACATTTACTTGAATGAGGAGTCATAACTTCTGTTTGTGCTGTATAGCCAACTCATATGGTCGTTGTCATGCACAGACAGATCTGGGATTAGGCTAGTCGTAACGCCCTCTCCAAACCCCCTGCTTCTAAAAGCAGTAAGGCGTCCCAACAACGTACCTCCTGGGGCTGATCAAATATGGCGTTGAAGTCACCGAAGCCGCGGCTTCCGGAGAACTCCCCAAAGATCTTGCGGAACAGTTCCTCTGGGTCCACGCTGCTGGTCTGTCCGCTCCAGTACTGCTGGTGTCCACCACCACCCGCCTGGTTGGCATCAAACCCTGCCACCCCGTACGTGTCATACTGCTTCCTCTTCACCTCGTCACTCAGCACCTGGGGGAGAACAAAGCAGGAAATAAGATGCACAGTCCTCCAGTAAGATCAGGTAGTTCCATCATAAAGTCAAGTGGTTCTGATGTTTTGTTTATTTGATTAACAGACACTTCAAGAGTGACATCAAATAGTACCAAGAAACCAGTTAGGCAAGTAACTAACTAACTAGTGATTCCACATCAGCTACACAAGTCACAGAAATATTGCTATACCTTTCACCGCTATCCCTTTAATCTCATTTTAGTTTCTTAAAGGGGAAGCCGGTTTTGAAGAAGAACTTGAGCCAAACCTCATAAGCTTCAGCCAGCTGAGCAAATTTCTCCTTGGCCTTAGGGTCTTCCTTGTTGGTGTCAGGATGATACTTCTTGGCCATCTGAAGAGAGACAACAACAAACATTCTCCTTCAACAACTGTGGTGAGTGGTGAAAGCAAAGGATCAATACAGTAAGTCAACACTACACAGGAAGTGGTCACACACACACACACAGTGACACACACACCTGGTAATATGCTTTCTTGATCTCTTTTTGGGTGGCAGTGCGTGGTACCCCCAGCACTGTGTAGAAGTCCTGTTTGTTGGATGCCGGGGCACTTGTGTGGAAGGACAGTGTGCAGATGACATGGGGAGATTTGACACCTGGAACTACAAAGAAAGGGCATGTGAGTAGATTACACCTGGCGACATGATTGTGGATTATATATCTATTTTCAAGGTACCTACAGGCCTGTACACTCACACAATTCATATATAACACTAAGCAGGGCTCTATCGATATATCTGGGGACTCAAACTAAATACATTAAAGTTAGCTGCTGTCTGTTATGATCAGCTCTTGGGCCAAGAAGTTTCTAGCCAACGCCAGTTGGCATCTGTAACTACCTAATCAGGGACCATGCAGATACAGCTAGTTCAACGCACTGTGTTTGACTGTACAGTACAGTAGCCATTCCTGACAGTCCGTTCAAGATCATCAGTGCTGTGACCTGACATGACTTTCCATGCAATGGCTATGCAGCTGCAGGCTAGCTACAGTATCAAACACCCCCAACAATTTGAATGCGTACAAGCTAACTGCTAGCTAGCTATGGGATTACATCCCTCTTCCATGGTATGTCATCATCATCCATGAGCTAACGTTAGTCTGTCTTTCAGTTGCATCGTTAGGAATGTTACCGTGGTGTCAAAAAAACTGATTGCAGACTGTCAGTTGTGTCCAAAAAGGTGCATGGAAACTACGAGAAACGCTAGCATCAAGCTAGCCTAGCTTGCTAGCTAGGCCGTCTAAGTGCACCCCCTACCTGACAGCCCTCTCAATGTCAACGCATTCCCCGTGCCCCCGCGCATTGCATTGCCTCCCGGCCACATCTTCTGTGTTCCTAAAGTCGACAGACTTCTGGCACCTCCATTAGAAGAAGGGGCCAGAGCACAGCAAGCACGACGGTGACCGGAGAACACAGCAACTGTTATCCAGCGTGTGGAGCACCGAGCCGCTGAGGACGCCATCATTACTCCACTGCTGTTACTCAGCGGGGACTGCGCATGTGCAAGTAAAGCGGTGTCACGGACATGCGCAGAAGCGTTGACCGCCAATAAAGATATTTTTGTTTCAAGATTGAAGATTGCCAACTTGAGAGCAAACTAACTTTCACTCTGTTGCAATATCTGCACTTGAGAAACTGTGGATGAGTATTTAAACATTTGTATCCCATGCAGTCCGCTTCTTACTCACGATTAAACATTTAAAACATAAATATTTGTATTTTACCGTGGTCAATCACAATTGATGTAGCTAAACAGGGATCTGAGTCGATCGTCGATAGAGTCGTTCACATAGTACAGCGAGTTGTGACAGTGCTGAACTCGAGAACTGTCATCTGAAAAGGAGCGTGCTGCTGAGTGCTCGCGCTTTTAGGAGAGTATCAACAAGACAGAGATACCCGGAAGGCACGAAAGTTAATTTAGGTGACTAGAATGAATCGTTTCAAGACCTCCAAATTCAAAAACACCACCCCGAAGATCGCCAAGAAAGATGTAAGTAATGAGCGTTGAAAGAAAGCCTCGCCAGCATTGGTTCTTAGCAACCGTGAAGAAGACGGAGTGGTGTTTTGGGGAACGTCTGAAAATGTATGGAGGAAATTGAACTTCCTGCATATCTGCAGAAGGCTAAACAATTGTCTACGAAAATCAAGAGCAAATCGCGAAGGCTGCTACAGTGTTAACCATGTGGTTATTGTTATCTAGCTAGCTTTCAGCAGTCTATGCAAATTCCACGTTTGACAGTGGTTCGTATTGGGCAGGATTGTCGGATGTTACAGATAGGCTGTGATGCTCATCATCACTGAATGGCCACATTGTTGCGAATTCTTGCTCTCATTGTAACCGGTCACCATTCTACAATGTAGCAGCAATGCTCAGATTTTAGATGTAAAGTGCACTGTACATACAATACGTATCCCTACGCCATTTAACAAAGCTCCTCTCTGTCAACCAATGACTGTAGGCTGTGAATAAGATACACCGTGGTGGTGTCATGCCGTCAGTCCTGGTGTTAGATACCTGGGAGTGCCTCGCATACCGGTTTTAAAAAGCAGGTAGATTGAGTTACACACGTTTGGGCTGTGCTCCAATTTGCACAGACAGCCATTACTACTCTTCCTGTGGATGATTATGTAACCTCCCCACTGCTGTCTTGTGATGACTGGCTGAGACAGTGGAAATGTCTGACATTCTTAATATCAAGTGGATGATTTAGGCATTGTGGAGGATTTCATTTTATAACCTAGTAGATCCTGATGATGCAAGTTGATCTCTGGACTTGCTGTAGCTAAGCCCCTTGATGAAAAATAGTTCTGCCTTGAGGGCTTCTCATGATATCAGCCAGTCACCTCCTACATGCTGTCAGATATAGGCTACCACCTGAACAGCCTTGAGGACTTCTCATGATGCCAGCTAGTCACCTCCTACATGCTGTCAGATGTAGGCTACCACCTGAACAGCCTTGAGGACTTCTCATGATGCCAGCTAGTCACCTCCTACATGCTGTCAGATGTAGGCTACCACCTGAACAGCCTTGAGGACTTCTCATGATGCCAGCTAGTCACCTCCTACATGCTGTCAGATGTAGGCTACCACCTGAACAATCCCTCTTATTTAGAACCATGGCTTGCCTTTTTTAGCCTGGGCTTTGTCTCTTTATATGTATATATTTATTCAGGTTTAGCCTGGGCTTTGTCACACATTATTGTGTGGGGGGATAGAGAGAAAGATGAAAATGGGAAATACCCAAGGGCTTGGGCAAGGCTACTGGGGCCGGGGCCTTGGCTGTGGCAGGTCCTGGGACTCAAGTGCAGTCACAGCAGGTCTGAGGACTGGGGATTAGTCCAGTCAGCTGTTCAGTCCTATGCTAAAGCCCCAGAGGCCCTTAGATGTATCTGATGGTGAAGCCACACACCGCTGCTACCAGGTGCTCAGAGCATGTGTGACACCCAACTGCAGTCTCCTCAGAGCTGTATGTGCATGATGACCTACAGTGGTTAGGCCTACAGTGTAAACTACAGTACACTGCTGCACGGTCAAGCAATAGCTGAAGTTCATGACTGATTTGGCATTGATGAGAGTTAAGTTCCCTTTTATAATAGGTCTACATCATGAGTGACCCCTCTCTGGCTAAAATACAGCTTGAAAAGGTTGCTCTTATAAATAGGTTATGAAACAGACCATTACTTGGATGATTATTCTCAATGTAGCAAGCTTCCACACAGTCTCACAGTGTGAGTGAGTTTCAGCTGCAGAGTGGATCTCTGATCCTGTTACGAGCACTGCCTCAGAAAAGCAACGCTCAAAGCACCACTTCAAATGGGGAGAGAGAGAGCGAAAGCGAGAGTGAGAGAGCTAGAGGGAGAGAGAGGGTTAGAGAGGGAGGGAGAACTCCAAGGAGTGAGTGAGTGTGAATGGGCACCTGGTTCTCTTTATGCCTGGCTGCCTATGGAGCAGTAATGTGTGTTTCCTGAGAGAGAGAAACTAGCTGTTTTGCTAGGCTGTCAGACGCTGTCTGGGCTGCAAAGTGCTCTCTGTACCTTCCCTGCTGGTGCTCGCGACTGTGTTTAGGCCTATTGTCTGACATGGTTAGTCCATAACGGTTTTGGCAGCAGTGGTATTCAAACACACAGCCCTCCTGCCTCTGCCCTGTTGTTACTGTTGTGAAAAGAGGTTTTAGAATGCACATCGCAGGGAGTCGCTTCCACTTCCTTAACATTCTGCTGATACAACAGGCACGGCAGAGGGTGTGTGTATAACAACACGCCCTCTGATACCGTCTTCCTTATTATCACAGTTAGTCTTTAATCTTGGGTGTTTGGAGAAGCAGTGTGTGTGTGCTCTGCCTCTGCGTTTAAGGTATCCACAGTTTATTTTGGGATGACTATGAACTGCATTGCACTTCAGCAGTGTGTGTCTGAAAGAGTGTGAGCTGCTGTTCTCTTGTGTGGACTTGTCAAGGGAACGCTTAGGATCCCACTCAGTTGGACAGACTTGCATTTTAAGTGAACAGACAACAACTGAAACATTCTAATGGTTTTCTTGTCATGTATAACAACAATTATGTTTGTCCCTACTCTATTGTATTAGCATAGGTCAGAAATAGCCTACTCATAATGTCCGTTAGACAGTCATCTTTTAGACCACAGTGATCACCTTTGTTTTATCTGATGGCCAGTTCCATCAGTCAGCTTCCTAATGATAGCTCCAGAGTCCCACCACACGTACCCCTAATGCACTGTTAATTACCCCTCTGTGTCCAGGGCTGGATCAGTAATATCCGGGCAGGATCCTTCACCTCTCAGGGGAACCACATCAAATCCAGCCCCAGGCTTGTGGCCTTCAACACTGACCAGGCCGGTAAGGATGAGACTCAGTCGGGACAACTATAGGGCCAACCGGAACCGTACTGTGCTGGCTTGGACATTTTCTTTTCAAAATGTCAGTTCATGCATGGTTCTAGCAACTATGGTGGATGTGGTATCCGTTTGGCCCTATAGTGTGATTCAGGCAACAGTGGTATGCGGTTGGGGTTCAACTAAGAATGTTCTGTCTGGTCTCTTATGAGGAGTCATGCTGTCTGTCTCTCTGGTAAGTTTACCTGTCTGTTGAAGCGTGTGTGAGCAGGTATTACCATCACAGAGCAGATATTTCCCATATCTTGAATCTCCATCTGTTTTGTATGAAAGAGAGACTGTATCGATCACACTGTCTGTGTCTCTCTGTGTGTGTTTTTGTGTGTGTGTGTCTCTTTCTCTGTCACCAGGTGGAGGAATGCTCGGCCTCACCTCTGTGGAACCAGGGTCTGATGGCAAGTGGACAGTGACTCTGATCCCATGTCATGCTGGTAAGATCCCTCTATCTACTTTTCATCCCTCCTTCACAAGCACCAGACACTATCCACTCATCACAACTCTCTCATTTCTCTCTCTGTTGTTTTACATTTCTTAAAGCTGCAATATGTAACTTTTTGGGCGACCTGACCAAATCCATATAGAAATGTGTGTTATAGATCTGTCATCTGCATCGAAAGCAAGTCTTAAGAAGCGGTAGATCTGTTCTATGTGCACTATTTCTATGCTTCCCGTTTAGTTTTATTTTTGCGTCTTTTGCTTCAAACAGCTGAAAATACAATATTTTTGGTTATGTAAAATATATTTCTCAGTGGTTTAGATGGTACAATGACCCTGTACACTACACTTGTTTGTTTTGTCACATAAACTGCAATTAAGCAAACTATTAGAATTTTAGCCACCAGGAAATGGCAGAGCGATTTCTGCATAGTGCATCTTTAATATTTCAAATTCTTACCATGAGTTCGTTTGACATAGTCCAGTCCCAGATCAATTAATGTGCTGTCTGTCTTGCCAACTGCTATGTCACGACTCCCGACCGAAGGAGTTAGATAGACAGTACAACCAGATATGGAACTAGGTGTAGCGAACATGAGTCGGGTACATGGTTGCTCATGGTCTCGTGATGAGCTAGCCCTGCCTACGACTTCAAAAATCATTGTCCCAAAAGGGTTTAACGTGGTTTCTAACGTGAGAGACAGGCTATGTTTCAACCTCAACCTTTTTCTAACTCACTCCCTTTTGTCCGTTTTTTTACAAGCCCAGTGCAGTCAAAAATGTGATTTTCCTGTGTTTTATATATATTTCCACACTATGAGGTTGGAATAATACTATGAAATTATGAAAATGATTGTAATGCCCTTTTAGTGTAAGAGCTGTTTGGAAAGACCACCTGATATTTCAGCCTGTTTTAGTGTGACATCACCAGGCGGTAAATTAGTTAATTGACCAATTAGAAAAAGGGTTCCAAACATCTCTGCCAATAACCACTAGTTTTCAGTTTTCCCCTCCCCACACAGACCACTCCCAGACATTCCTAGCAAAATTATTGCTTCAGAAATTGCTATTTGTTTAGAAGCTATTGTTGTTTCTTTTTGACCATTTTAATTGAACACAATCACAGTAAGGTACTTAATTGTTCCCCAGAAATGATTTGATATTGAGATAAAAACTGCTGCATTGGACCTTTTAACTTACAAATTATACTCCTTGTTCCCAAGTGATCACAAGAGGAATGCAAATGCCATTGTTCTGAAATAAACCCTTACACTTGTGACCTAAATCTCTTGTTTGTCCTCCTCCTCTCTCTCTGTCTCTCTCACTCTCTCAGATCTGATAACTGATTTGGACTTCTCTCCGTTTGATGATAATCTCCTGGCTACCTGTTCTGCAGATGAAACGGTGAGGCCCTCTCCAACCTCATTCCTCTAAGGCCCTGTCTCCCTGTCCTCATTCCTCTAAGACCCTGTCCTCATTCCTCTAAGGCCCTGTCTCTCTGTCCTCATTCCTCTAAGGCCCTGTCTCTCTGTCCTCATTCCTCTAAGGCCCTGTCTCTCTGTCCTCATTCCTCTAAGGCCCTGTCTCTCTGTCCTCATTCCTCTAAGGCCCTGTCTCTCTGTCCTCATTCCTCTAAGGCCCTGTCTCTCTGTCCTCATTCCTCTAAGGCCCTGTCTTCATTTTTTTTTAAACATCCTTCATTCTTTCCTTCCTTCCTCTTGGCCCTTCACCTAACTATAAGATGAGTGATTGCTTTCAGGAAGGAAGGGAGGAAAGAGGATCTTGTTATGGTCTCACACTCTCTTGCAGACCGTCTGTTGTATTTTTCCATGGTACATGCACATTAACAGTTGTTTGTGTCTTTAGGCCGGGAACGAGGGCTATGACAGATCTGGATGAAAAAATGAATTGCATTGACTGTTGTTATTATGTGGAAAGAAACCTTTGAAGTCACTCAGAGTCCATCTTACCTCAGAGCTGCTTCCCCACAGGTGCTCAGCCTTAAGAATGTGCTGAGTGTGTGAGTGTGTGAGTGTGTGAGTGTGTGAGTGTGTGAGTGTGTGAGTGTGTGAGTGTGTGAGTGTGTGTGTGTGTGTGTGTGTGTGTGTGCAGACTCAGCAGCAGGGTCTGCCTCAGAGGGCTGAGTAAACAAATGTACAGCCACACTGGGCCGTAAGCCTCAGTCCACAGTAAAGTACCCAACATCTGTAGAGGAGCCCTGAGCTCAGCTAGGATATTTTATATTCCAGCTTTCATCTGCTGCCAAGAAAACATTGTTTTTGTCACCTTGTTGTGCTGAGTAACACACACAGACATCCACACCCACAAACACACATGTATGCACACACACACACACACACACACACTCACACTCACACACACACACACACACACACACACACACACACACACACACACACACACACACACACACACACACACGCTGTTTTAAGACTTTGTCATCGCTTTAGATAAATCATAGCTAAAGTGGCATCGCTCTGCTTTAGCCATAGAGACAGAAACAGACGCACTGATGCTGACTTTCAGTTTGATGAACACGCATGCAAATACACACACACACACACAGACACCCAGGATTTGAAGGCTCAGCACAGCACAGCCCTGAAACAACAGCATATTATTTATCCCACTAACAGGCCCCAGGTGGCATTTCAAAGCTGCCATTTTACCACCTTATTGCTGGATTGAATCCTGGATCTGCAGCTGTATACCACCTGGTTCTCCAGTCCAGTTGGTCCAGATGTCCATAGTCCTAGTAGTGAGAACATGGTCCAGGTGTCAGTAGTCCTAGTAGTGAGAACATGGTCCAGGTGTCCATAGTCCTAGTAGTGAGAACATGGTCCAGGTGTCCATAGTCCTAGTAGTGAGAACATGGTCCAGGTGTCAGTAGTCCTAGTAGTGAGAACATGGTCCAGGTGTCAGTAGTCCTAGTAGTGAGAACATGGTCCAGGTGTCCATAGTCCTAGTAGTGAGAACATGGTCCAGATGTCCATAGTCCTAGTAGTGAGAACATGGTCCAGGTGTCAGTAGTCCTAGTAGTGAGAACATGGTCCAGGTGTCAGTAGTCCTAGTAGTGAGAACATGGTCCAGGTGTCCATAGTCCTAGTAGTGAGAACATGGTCCAGGTGTCAGTAGTCCTAGTAGTGAGAACATGGTCCAGGTGTCAGTAGTCCTAGTAGTGAGAACATGGTCCAGGTGTCAGTAGTCCTAGTAGTGAGAACATGGTCCAGGTGTCCATAGTCCTAGTAGTGAGAACATGGTCCAGGTGTCCATAGTCCTAGTAGTGAGAACATGGTCCAGGTGTCCATAGTCCTAGTAGTGAGAACATGGTCCAGGTGTCAGTAGTCCTAGTAGTGAGAACATGGTCCAGGTGTCAGTAGTCCTAGTAGTGAGAACATGGTCCAGGTGTCAGTAGTCCTAGTAGTGAGAACATGGTCCAGGTGTCAGTAGTCCTAGTAGTGGAGAACATGGTCCAGGTGTCAGTAGTCCTAGTAGTGAGAACATGGTCCAGGTGTCAGTAGTCCTAGTAGGTGAGAACATGGTCCAGGTGTCCATAGTCCTAGTAGTGAGAACATGGTCCAGGTGTCAGTAGTCCTAGTAGTGAGAACATGGTCAGGTTGTCAGTAGTCCTAGTAGTGAGAACATGGTCCAGGTGTCAGTAGTCCTAGTAGTGAGAACATGGTCCAGGTGTCCATAGTCCTAGTAGTGAGAACATGGTCCAGGTGTCAGTAGTCCTAGTAGTGAGAACATGGTCCAGGTGTCCATAGTCCTAGTAGTGAGAACATGGTCCAGGTGTCAGTAGTCCTAGTAGTGAGAACATGGTCCAGGTGTCAGTGGTCCTAGTAGTGAGAACATGGTCCAGGTGTCAGTGGTCCTAGTAGTGAGAACATGGTCCAGGTGTCCATAGTCCTAGTAGTGAGAACATGGTCCAGGTGTCAGTAGTCCTAGTAGTGAGAACATGGTCCAGGTGTCAGTGGTCCTAGTAGTGAGAACATGGTCCAGGTGTCCATAGTCCTAGTAGTGAGAATATGGTCCAGGTGTCCATAGTCCTAGTAGTGAGAACATGGTCCAGGTGTCAGTAGTCCTAGTAGTGAGAACATGGTCCAGGTATCCATAGTCCTAGTAGTGAAAGCTCCAACGTTTAACAGTAGGTGGTTGGGTATGGGCATACTGAGTCGGCTGCGGTGGGTTTTAGGGCAAGGCCAGCTGTTTGAAATGAACTCACTGTTCATAAACAATGGGGTTGGGGCTAATAGCATGTCTATACTCTGCCTTTGAATGTTCAGTGAGTGTAGCTGGGGTTTGAATGTTCAGTGAATGTAGCTGGGGTTTGAACGTTCATTCAATGTAGCTGGGGTTTGAATGTTCAGTGAGTGTAGCTGGGGTTTGAACGTTCATTCAGTGTAGCTGGGGTGAAGGGATTAGTTTAGGTCATTTCCTTCGATGACCTACTGACATGGAGCAAGATACAAACCTCAAAAGCTTCTCTCTAACATTAGATAGATGTATGCATATGTAACATTTACATGTGTATAATACTGTATTTATATGCATATGTAACATACACTTGCTTCCATTCAGCCACAAGAGCATTAGTGAGGTCGGGCACTGATGTTGGGCGATTAGGCCTGGCTCGCAGTCGGTGTTCCAATTCATCCCAAAGGTGTTCGATGGGGTTGAGGTCAGGGCTCTGTGCAGGCCATTGAAGTTCTTCCACACCGATCTCGACAAACCATTTCTGTATGGACCTCGCTTTGTGCACGGGGGCATTGTCATGCTGAAACAGGAATCGGCCTTCCCCAAACTGTTGCCACAAAGTTGGAAGCACAGAATTGTCTAGAATGTAATTGTATGCTGTAGCATTAAGATTTCCCTTCACTGGAACTAAGGGGCCTAGCCCGAACCATGAAAAATAGCCCCAGACCATTATTCCTCCTCCACCAAACTTTACAGTTGGCACTATGCATTGGGGCAGGTAGCGTTCTCCTGGCATCCGCCAAACCCAGATTCCACTGCTCCAGAGTCCAATGGCGGCGAGCTTTACACCACTCCAGCCGACGCTTGGCATTGCGCATGGTGATCTTAGGCTTGTGTGCGGCTGCTCGGCCATGGAAACCCATTTCTTGAAGCTCCCGACGAACAGTTCTTGTGCTGACGTTTCTTCGAGGCAGTTTGGAACTCGGTAGTGAATGTTGCAAACGAGGACAGATGATTTTTACGCGCTACGCGCTTCAGCACTCGGCAGTCCCATTCTGTGAGCTTGTGTGGCCTACCCCTTTGCGGCTGAGCCGTTGTTGCTCCTAGACGTTTCCACTTCACAATAACAGCACTTACAGTTGACCGGGGCAGCTCTGGCAGGGCAGAAATCTGACAAACTGACTTTTTGGAAAGGTGGCATCCTATGCCACGTTGAAAGTCACTGAGCTCTTCAGTAAGGCCATTCTTCTGCCAATGTTTGTCTATGGAGATTGCATGGCTGTGTGCTCAATTTTATACACCTGTCAGCAAAGGGTTTGGCTGAAATAGCCGAATCCACTAATTTGAAGGGGTGTCCACATACTTTTGTATGTCCGTTGGCCACTCTCTTCATGTCTGATTGAGAGCCCATTCACCTGACACCTGTGTGAACGTGTGTGCGCGAGTGTGTGTCTCTCTTATACTCCGCACAACAAGGTCACTAAAAACATGCTTTCTTGGTCCATCCAGGTGAAGCTGTGGCGTGTGTGTGAACCAGAACAGGAGCAGCCCGGGGGGGCGGAGGTGACCCTGTGTCCCGGAGAGGGTCGTCTGGAGCTGGTCTCCTTCCACCCCACCTCCTCTGGCCTGCTGGCTGTAGGCTCCACCAAGACAGCCCAGCTCTGGGACGCCAGCCGCCAAAACTCACCGCTAGCAGGTAGGATACACTGGAGGAGTGGAGGAGAGCAGAGGAGCTATACACCATGCAGGCATGAAAGAATGGACGAATGCATGAACACACACTCTCTTATAGACACTGACACATGATTGACGGAAAGCATGAACACACACAAACAAATGCATGAACGATGAACACACACACTCACAATCACTCACACACAAATAGATCCATACAGTACAAACCCACATCTTCACACACATATACCAGCAAACAGACCATACACAATCAGTCAGTTTGATCCTTTCACATTTATTTAGTTTCCTTCTGCTCTGTGTCACAGTAATGTTGAACATGTGAGCGAGCAACACTCTCTGTCCATCTGTAGTTCTACATTGTTTTCTATGTGTATAACATCTCTGTTATTGGTGTATAACGTCTCTGTTATTGGTGTATCACATCTCTGTTAATGGTGTATAACGTCTCTATGTTATTGGTGTATAACGTCTCTATGTTACTGGTGTATCAGGTCTCTATGTTATTGGTGTATCAGGTCTCTATGTTATTGGTGTATAACATCTCTATGTTATTGGTGTATAACGTCGCTATGTTATTGGTGTATAACGTCGCTATGTTATTGGTGTATAACATCGCTATGTTATTGGTGTATAACGTCGCTATGTTATTGGTGTATCAGGTCTCTATGTTATTGGTGTATCAGGTCTCTATGTTATTGGTGTATAACATCTCTATGTTATTGGTGTATAACGTCTCTATGTTATTGGTGTATAACGTCTCTGTTATTGGTGTATAACGTTCTCTGTTATTGGTGTATAACGTTTCTCTGTTATTGGTGTATAACCTCTCTGTTATTGGTGTATCACGTCTCTGTTATTGGTGTATCACGTCTCTGTTATTGGTGTATCACGCTCTGTTATTGGTGTATACGCCTCTGTTATTGGTGTATCACGTCTCTGTTATTGGTGTATCACGTCTCTGTTATTGGTGTATCACGTCTCTCTGTTATTGGTGTATCACGTCTCTGTTATTGGTGTATCACGTCTCTGTTATTGGTGTATCACGTCCCTGTTATTGGTGTATCACGTCCCTGTTATTGGTGTATCACGTCCCTGTTATTGGTGTATACGTCTCTGTTATTGGTGTATAACCTCTCTGTTATTGGTGTATAACCTCTCTGTTATTGGTGTATAACCTCCTGTTATTGGTGTATCACGTCTCTGTTATTGGTGTATCACGTCCTGTTATTGGTGTATCACGTCTCTGTTATTGGTGTATCACGTCTCTCTGTTATTGGTGTATCACGTCTCTCTGTTATTGGTGTATCACGTCTCTCTGTTATTGGTGTATCACGTCTCTCTGTTATTGGTGTATCACGTCTCTCTGTTATTGGTGTATCACGTCTCTCTGTTATTGGTGTATCACGTCTCTCTGTTATTGGTGTATCACGTCTCTCTATGTTGGGGTCATGCGAGGCGGTGTCCTCAGGGTGACTCTGTCTCACTGACAGACAGGCAGTCTATGCTGTCTCTGCTGCTGAAGAGCGGTTGAGGTAACGTCTGCCTCTTCTCAGTCTCCGTGGTTCTCTGGTCTGGTCTGGTCTGGGTGGCCTGGGGCAGTTTGCTTATCCGCTGGCCTTCCACCCAGTCCTGACAGACAGGCCCCACCATGATGGCTGATGCTGCTCACTGCTGCCCCCCTCAGGCTGTGCCCTGCCCTTCCATTACTCCCTCACCACCCCTCTCTGACCCCTGACCCTGCTGTTAATGTGGTCTGGGTTCATCAGGGTGAACCTCAACACTTGGGGAGAGTGTGTGTGTCCCGTGTGACGACTTTCTTCACCATTGACAAATGCTGTTGTCATCTATGCTATCTACTGTCGTGTCATCATAACCCATCAATGCTATGCTGTAGCCATAACCAGCCATAGCACCATAACCTCATTATGTCCTGTGTACCATTGATCTAGGTGGTCTTAACTGGGTCAACTGGGTCTGCTTTGGGGTTTCTACAATCTATGTACTGTTGTTTCATCCTGTGTTTCCCTCTGTGTCCTGTGGTTTGGCTTCACCTGTCCTGTGTCTTGGCTTTACCTGTCCTGTGTCTTGGCCTCACCTGTCCTGTGTCTTGGCTTCACCTGTCCTGTGTTGACTTATGTGCCTCCCTGTGTTGTTTCTAACTGTGCTTTCTTTCTGGCTATTCATCCTGAATCTCTTTGTGTGCTTTAGTTGTTCTCCTCTGACCTAGCCTTCTGTGTTGTCCTGTGTTGTTGACCTGTCCTGGGCTGTTGTTGTTGACCTGTGCTGTTGTTCCCTGTCTTGTGTTTACCTGTGCTGTTGACCTCTCTGTGACCTCTCCTTGACTTGATCTCCCCTGTGATAACCTGTGGGCTGAGCTGACCAGTCTCTTGACCTCTGACCTGTGTGTGTCTATCTGCAGCTCTGGAGCCGCACGGTGATCAGCTGCAGAGTCTGAGCTGGAAAGAGGATGGCTCCCTGCTGGCTTCCTCCTGCAAGGTGAGTCAGTCCTACATTACATACTGAGACTAGACAGGAACTATTATTATCATGTACAGTACATCTAAATATAGGAGCACAGGAGTTGGATAGAAAAGACGGCAGAAAGTGCATGTTCACACATTGTGATCTGCTTTTCAATGGGATCCTACAATGAAGGTTTGGCACATAGCAACCTCTCTATCTATCAATGAAGGTTTGTCACATAGCAACTTCTCTATCCATCAATGAAGGTTTGTCAAATAGCAACCTCTGTATCTATCATATGTGTTGTGTCTTAAATACTTCCCAACTCTCCAGTGGTAAACAACAGCAGCTGAGGTTCACATAATGTGTGTGTTTGACATCTACTACATTGCTGTCGTACTGTGTGGAATCACTGATCTACAAATCAAATCAAATGTTATTGGTTGCGTACATATATTTAGCAGACGTTATTGCAGGTGCAGTGAAATGCTTATGTTCCTAGGTCAGTACATTAGTACTGAACAATACACACAAATACCACAAATAAAAAGAAAGGAATGAAGAAATACCAGGAAGAGCAATGATGTGTATAGGCAGTATGGACAGTATATGATGTTTATCGACAGTATGGACAGTATATGATGTGTATAGACAATATGGACAGTAGATGATGTGTATGGACAGTAGGGGTGTAACGATTCGTTTGAACAACGATTCGATTTGTATCATGATTCGTGGTTGTCGATACGATTCAAGGACGATATTGGTTCATTTAGAACGATACGATCCGAAACGATTCAGTGACTTGAAATCGATTCAGTAACCTTTTAGCCAAAAATTCAACCAGTGTGACTGAAATAAATACCTGGATACTGGACAGTGCAGGTGAAGTTTCCTAGATTCCTGTTTCTTGTAAGGACCGCAATGGTGGCTTGATAATTTCTCGCTCGTCGGCTTCTCCTCTGTCGTCCGCCATGCTATGTTTTGTTGTCTTGGCGCCTTTGCGCTGCTGCTGGCGCGATGACGTCACGGATAGGCAGACTGAATCGAGTAATGTTTAAAGCCTTTATCATTAAAAGTGCTAAGAAAAAACATCCATATAAAGTCTGACGTGCTTAAATCCAATGGGTTATTTCCTAGTATCGATACAATCGATTTATTACATTTTAAAACGATGTTAGATTGATATATGTTGTCCAAAAGGCCAACTCGCCGAGCACAGATCGATGTAGTTGGATCATAGGAATATAAATCGATACATCGATGTAGTAGATGGATCGTTACACCCCTAATGGACAGTATATGATGTATATGGACAATATGGACAGTATATGATGTGTATGGACAATATGGACAGTATATGATGTGTATGGACAATATGGACAGTATATGATGTGTATAGGCAGTATGGACAGTATATGATGTGTATGGACAGTATATGATGTATATGGACAATATGGACAGTATATGATGTATATACAGTGGGGGAAAAAAGTATTTAGTCAGCCACCAATTGTGCAAGTTCTCCCACTTAAAAAGATGAGAGAGGCCTGTAATTTTCATCATAGGTACACGTCAACTATGACAGACAAATTGAGAAAAACTAATCCAGAAAATCACATTGTAGGATTTTTAATGAATTTATTTGCAAATTATGGTGGAAAAGAAGTATTTGGTCACCTACAAACAAGCAAGATTTCTGGCTCTCACAGACCTGTAACTTCTTCTTTAAGAGGCTCCTCTGTCCTCCACTCGTTAACTGTATTAATGGCACCTGTTTGAACTTGTTATCAGTATAAAAGACACCTGTCCACAACCTCAAACAGTCACACTCCAAACTCCACTATGGCCAAGACCAAAGAGCTGTCAAAGGACACCAGAAACAAAATTGTAGACCTGCACCAGGCTGGGAAGACTGAATCTGCAATAGGTAAGCAGCTTGGTTTGAAGAAATCAACTGTGGGAGCAATTATTAGGAAATGGAAGACATACAAGACCACTGATAATCTCCCTCGATCTGGGGCTCCACGCAAGATCTCACCCCGTGGGGTCAAAATGATCACAAGAACGGTGAGCAAAAATCCCAGAACCACACGGGGGGACCTAGTGAATGACCTGCAGAGAGCTGGGACCAAAGTAACAAAGCCTACCATCAGTAACACACTACGCCGCCAGGGACTCAAATCCTGCAGTGCAAGACGTGTCCCCCTGCTTAAGCCAGTACATGTCCAGGCCCGTCTGAAGTTTGCTAGAGTGCATTTGGATGATCCAGAAGAGGATTGGGAGAATATCATATGGTCAGATGAAACCAAAATAGAACTTTTTGGTAAAAACTGAACTCGTCGTGTTTGGAGGACAAATAATGCTGAGTTGCATCCAAAGAACACCATACCTACTGTGAAGCATGGGGGTGGAAACATCATGCTTTGGGGCTGTTTTTCTGCAAAGGGACCAGGACGACTGATCCGTGTAAAGGAAAGAATGAATGGGGCCATGTATCGCGAGATTTTGAGTGAAAACCTCCTTCCATCAGCAAGGGCATTGAAGATGAAACGTGGCTGGGTCTTTCAGCATGACAATGATCCCAAACACACCGCCCGGGCAACGAAGGAGTGGCTTCGTAAGAAGCATTTCAAGGTCCTGGAGTGGCCTAGCCAGTCTCCAGATCTCAACCCCATAGAAAATCTTTGGAGGGAGTTGAAAGTCCGTGTTGCCCAGCGACAGCCCCAAAACATCACTGCTCTAGAGGAGATCTGCATAGAGGAATGGACCAAAATACCAGCAACAGTGTGAGAAAACCTTGTGAAGACTTACAGAAAACGTTTGACCTGTGTCATTGCCAACAAAGGGTATATAACAAAGAATTGAGAAACTTTTGTTATTGACCAAATACTTATTTTCCACCATAATTTGCAAATAAATTCATAAAAAATCCTACAATGTGATTTTCTGGATTTTTTTTCTCATTTTGTCTGTCATAGTTGACGTGTACCTATGATGAAAATTACAGGCATCTCTCATCTTTTTAAGTGGGAGAACTTGCACAATTGGTGGCTGACTAAATACTTTTTGACCCCACTGTAGACAATATGGACAGTAGATGATATGTATAGACAATATGGACAGTAGATGATGTGTATAATTATAGACAATATGGACAGTATATGATGTGTATAGACAATATGGACAGTAGATGATATGTATAGACAATATGGACAGTAGATGATGTGTATAATTATGATGTGTATAGACATCTGGCAGTATATGATGTGTATGACAATATGGACTATCTGATGGTATAGACCTATATGAATGTGTATAACCAATTGGGACAGTATATGAGTGTATAGACAATATGGACAGTATATGTGTTATAAGGACAGTAGGACAGTATATGATGTGTATATGCAGTATGACATTATGATGTGTATGGACATATGGACATTATATTGAATATGGTCTAGGCATATGGGACAGTATAGATGTGTATAGACATATGGACAGTATATGCTGTGATGGACCGTATGGACAGAATATGATGTTTCATGGCAGTATGGACAGTATATGATGTGTATAGGCAGTATATGATGTGTATGGACAGTATATGATGTGTATGGTCAGTATATGAATATAAAAGATGTGTACAGCGGTAGTTATCTAGGATGAGCCTTGACTAGAATACAGTATATACATATGAAGTGGTAAAACAGTATGTAAACATTATTAAATCACCTTGCATACTAAATAACTACTCACTATGTGATCAAGATTAGGGATTCTGCACCTAGACTTGCTCAGGCTGATCCCCTCAAACACACAGAACAGTCAGTTGCTGAATGGCCCTTGCCTATTGCTTCCAAGAGTGTTTCTTGTTATTCGTTTAATTTTTTTTGTACTTTTACCCCTTTTTCTCCCCAATTTCGTGATATCCAATTGGTATTTACAGTCTTGTCCCATCGCTGCAACTCCCCTACGGACTCGGGAGAGGCGAAGGTCGAGAGCCATGCGTTCTCCGAAACACGACCCTGCCAAGCCGCACTACTTTTTGACACACTGCTCGCTTAACCCAGAAGCCAGCCGCACCAATGTGTCTGAGCAAACACCGTCCAGCTGGCGACTGAAGTCAGCTTGCAGGCGCCCGGCCCGCCACAAGGAGTCGCTAGAGGGCGATGGGACAAGGAAATACCGTCCGGCCAAACCCTCCCCTAACCCGGACGACGCTGGGCCAATTGTGCGCCGCCTCATGGGTCTCCCGGCCATGGCCGCCTGGGGGATCGAACCCAGGTCTGTAGTGATGCCTCAAGCACTGCGATGCAGTGCCTTAGACAGCTGCGCCACTCGGGAGGTCCCCAAGAGTGTTTCTAAAAGCACTGTCAACCTGGGATGCAATACTGTTGTAGCTGTAGTAGCCGCGTCTCACCTGTAGATGCCGCCAACGGAACATCTTATCCCCCAGTTTGCCTGGTTGGCGCTACCAGACATTAAACAGCATCTGTTTTTGAGCCGATCATTCCATCAACGAGTCAACAGGGATGACACTCATTAACCCGGGTGTAGATATTGCACTCTGACTGACCGTGTCCCACTTTTTTTACTGGGTTCTAAACTCAGGGATTGAGAAAGAGAGATGAGATTTGGAAAAATCAGTGATATACTGTAATAGCCAGTTTGTCTAATTGTTTTAGCGTTATAATAGTTTGATTGTGTTGACAGAGGCATGAACTAATGCAAAGGTGCGTGATCCGCACTGAGCAGCCAAGCCTTCCAATTAAGATTAGTTAGTGTGTTAGTTGTCTGGCAAGTTTCTTTCTTTCTTCTTTCTTTCTTTCTTTCTGAAAACAGAACGGAACATTGGATGTGTCATTAATTAGGCCTTAACGAGGCAGTGGAGGCAGGGTACGTAACTGTTTCGTGTAGGACGGCATCCATCAGGCCCCCGCATGCAGAAAACCCAAGTGACCCCTAACCCCAACAATGCACACATCCAGGATCATGTTCATTAGGCACCAAATGGAAGAAAATAGGGCTGAAACAGGGAGGGACTACTTGGACGTGTCCAATAAAAAACCCTTGTTTTTAGTTTTCCATTGCAAAATGTTTCGCTATGTTGTTCCCTAATGGAAACGACCCAGGCCTCTTCTCCCCCACTGCCCCTGCCTCTCCCCGCCCGACCCCTGCCTCTCCTGGGGAGAAGGGAGCTATAGTAAGGGCCTTACCTCCACCCCCAGCTCCCTGACAGGCTCTGGGAGTTACAGCATTTTTAAAGCAAAGTAAAGAGTGGAGGTGAAAAACACACGCAGGAGGGGACGTCAATCCTCACCTGGCCACAGAGGCCCGTCGCAAGGCCTCAAGAGCGGGTGATTTAGCACCCCAGGAGAGAGGACCTGGGCATGGAGGCATGCGTGGTGCCCCCTCCTGTTGTAAAGGAAATAATAACCATGCTGGAAGGGATTTCCATCGTGTGTGTGTGTGTGTGTGTGTGTGTGGTTGAGTAGGGCGTGCCAGAGTGGCGGTAGCTAGGGGTTTATGGGAAGGGGGGCAGAGGGAGAGAGAGAGAGAGGGGAGTTTATGAGTAGAAGTGGAATTGTTTCATGAATAGTTGTAGTTGAACTTGAAGAGTAGGCAGGGGCCTTTTCATCAGCGGGGGTTAACATAACTCATTTTTTAACAGTTCCTGCCTTTGAGGTATGTGCTGTGGCAAATTTCAGTGTACTTTCCTTGTCCTCTCCCTCTCTCTTGCACACTTCAAATCAAATCAAATGTTATTTGTCACATACACGTGTTTAGCAGATGTTATAGCGGGTGTAGCGAAATGCTTGTGCTTCTAGCTCCAACAGTGCAGTAATATCTAACAAGTAATATCTAACAATTTCACAACATATACCCAATACACACAAAACTTGTAAGGAATGGAATTTAAGAATACATATATGGACAAGCAATGACAGAGCGGCATGGACTAAGATACAATAGAATATTATAGAATAGAATACAGTCTATACATATGAGATGAGTAGTGCAAGATATGTAAACATTATTAAAGTGACTAGTGTTCCATTTCTTAAAGTGGCCAGTGATTTCAATAGGCAGCAGCAGCCTCTAATGTGCTAGAGATGGCTATTTAACAGTCTGATGGCCTTGAGATAGAAGCTGTTTTTCATTCTCTCGGTCCCAGCTTTGATGCACCTGTACTGACCTCGCCTTCTGGATGATAGCGGGGTGAACAGGCAGTGGCTCGGGTGGTTGATGTCCTTGATTATCTTTTTGGCCTTCCTGTGACATCGGGTGCTGTATGTGTCTTGTGGCGGGTAGTTTGCCCCCGGTAATGCGTTCGGCAGACCGCACCACCCTCTGGAGAGCCCTGTGGTTGCGGGCGGTGCAGCTGCCGTACCAGGCTGTGATACAGCCCGACAGGATGCTCTCAATTGTGCATCTGTAAAGGTTTGTGAGGGTTTTAGGTGCCAAGCCACATTTCTTCAGCTTCCTGAGGTTGAAGAGGCTCTGTTGCGCCTTCTTCACCACACTGTCTGCGTGGGTGGACCATTTCAGTTTGTCGATGATGTGTACGCCAAGGAACTTGAAGCTTTCTACCTTCTCCACTGCGGTCCCGTCAATGTGGATAGTGGGGTGCACCCTCTGCTGTTTCCTGAAGTCCACGATTATCTCCTTTGTTTTGTTGACGTTGAGTGAGAGGTTATTTTCCTGGCACCACACTCCCAGAGCCCTCACCTCCTCCCTGTAGGCGGTCTCGTCATTGTTGGTAATCAAGCCTACTACTGTTGTTTCGTCTGCAAACTTGATGATTGAGTTGGAGGCGTGCTTGGCCACGCAGTCATAGGTGAACAGGTAGTACAGGAGGGGGCTGAGCACGCACCCCTGAGGGGCCCCAGTGTTGAGGATCAGCGAAGTGGAGATGTTGTTTCCTACCTTCACCACCTGGGGGCGGCCCGTCAGGAAGTCCAGGACCCAGTTGCACAGGGCGGGGTTCAGACCCAGGGCCTCAAGCTTAATGATGAGCTTGGAGGGTACTATGGTGTTGAATGCTGAGCTATAGTCAATGAACAGCATTCTTACATAGGTATTCCTCTTGTCCAGGTGGGATAGGGCAGTGTGCAGTGTGATGGCGATTGCATCGTCTGTGGATCTATTGGGGTGGTAAGCAAATTGAAGTGGGTCTAGGGTGACAGGTAAGGTAGATGTGTCACATACAGACATTCATAGATAATCTGGTTGGATTCGCTGAGACAGAGAGAGAGCCTTGGGTGGCTTGTGTTCATTAGGCACCAAACATAAAAATGTATATCTTTGATTGAAACAGGGAGGGACTACCTGAACTTGTGCAATAAGAAACGCTAATTTTAGATTTCTGTTGCAAAACATTTAAAAATGTTTCCATAAGGAACATTACCTTTTAGTAGACCAAGCAGGATCAAAACCTACAGAGAAGACAGGCTGTCGTATGACTCTGTGTGTTTAACAGTTGTTTGTGTCAGACTGGGTGTCATTTTCCCATGTTTGTATTCCCAGTGACCAGAAAGGAGTTGGCTTATCAGTCAGTCAGTAATGGCCCGTGCTCAGACCAGCATTACTCTTGACATGATGATAGTCCTTAGGAGGGCTGCTGCTGGCCTGAGAGAGTGGAGGGGGGTATAAAGCGGGAGAGAGTGAGTGAGAGAGAAAGAGACCGAGCGAGAGAGGCAGAGAGATGGACAGAGAAGAAAGAGAAAAAGCGAAAGACAGAAAAAGAAAGGGAGAAACAGAGTGGAGGAGAAATGTGACACTAGATTAGAGTGTCTGGGTTCCAGAGGTTCTGCCCTCTCTAGGTTGACTGAGACCAGGGGTGTAGTTTAACTCAATGGGCCCTTCAATCTCTCCAATCCCCTTCATTAAAGCGAATAGGCCCTGCCAACATGTGTGTTCAATTGGGGCCGGGCTCAACCAAGTGGGTGAACGTAGGGGGTGTGCTACGTCAGATGAAGGGAGACTGTGGCCATCCATCCGTCAACGAGTGAGCAGCACTCATCATGACAGGCCTGGGGTGTGTTCATTAGGCGCTAAATGGAAGAAACTACCAATAAGAAACGCTCATTTTCGTTTTCTGTTTCAAAATGTTTTGGCTATGGTGTGCTCTAATACATACTACCCAGATTTAGGGGCCTAGAGACGCATATTCCATCAAGGGCTGTAACAGACAGATTTTAAACACTGCAGTTCACCATCTCTATCCTGTTCCATCAATCCTACACCAAAACAGAAACAGTTCCTATACCATTCCTCTCTCACTACCTCTCTGTTTGTCTTCATGTACTGAGCAGCTCCTTTCACTTTCACCCCATGCTGTTGTCTGCAGCAGCAGGCATGAACTCCTATAGCTTCTGTTAAAATGGGTTTTTCACAGTGAGCAGATATTCCCCTTTTCTCTTCATATTGGATATACTTTTTATCCAGCTCTGTTTAATAGACACACACACACACACACACTCCCATGATTTAAGAAAAGTTATTAGTTATTATCAGTGTGTGAACCAACTCCTCCTGATGTCACACAGTCTGGACTGTCAGTCACTGGTGATTGACACTGTTTTTTTTGTGGGGAGTTGCCATGGACGACTGGAAAGGGGAGGTTGTTTGTGTGTGTGTGTGTGTGTGTGTGTGTGTGTGAAAGCTCTACAGCAGGGTAGAACTCATTAACAGCAGCCTGAGAATGAGGTGAGCTCAATGCTGCTTTGATTAAACAGCTGCACTCTCTGCACACACACACACTTGTGTTTGTGTTAGGGAGAGTGGGCACCCCATCTGTGCATTTATGAGAAAGGGTGGATCGTGCGTGCGTGTGTGCGTGCGTGCCTGTGCGTGCGTGCCTGCGCGTGTTTAAAGCCAATAGGTTATTGTCAGGAGGTTATGAGGGTCTGTTTGACTGTTTGAGTGTGTCTGTTTCCAATGGTGGACACATCTGCATGTGACTGACTCTCATCTAGGTGTTTGCAGCCAGATAGTTTCCCCTCCGGCAGATGATTTTGTTTGTTGTGAGTACACTGAATAGTTCTCTGTTGGCAAGGGTAGTGTGTGTGTGCGGGTGTGTTGTACACGGGTGTGTGTCTGTGTGTTTGTAATGTGTTAAGGTCAGTAAGGGCAGCCAGTCTCTAGGGGCGACGGTTGATGATCTGTCCACCCTGCCTAGTCTGCTGTGTTTTCCCTGCTGTGTCTGTGTCTGTGTGTGTGTGTCGCTCGGACTGGGCCTGGCACTGTGGTCTCTGAGCCCTGGCTGAAGCCTGGGTCACAGAGACCCAAAGCCACAGCCTTAGGCTACACTAACCTCTGGGTGGGCTTCCACCACACACACACACACAAACAGAGCTGTAGGATTAGGAAAAGCCCTGTTTGTTATTCCAAGCAGTAAACAGCAAATAAATCCATCATCCAAAGTGGCGACTGCTGGGGGAAAACACACACACACACACTTTGAACTCGGTCTTTGAAGGCAAGGCCAGGGGAACCCCTTCCTCTCAACAATCCCTTTCTTCAACTTTGATTTCAGCTGGGGTGTGTGTGTGTGTGTGTCTCACAGAAAGGTTAATGCTGGTCTGCCTGCCTGTCTGCCTGTCTGCCTGCCTGTCTTCCTGTTTTCTGGTTATGTGTGTCTGTTGGCTATATGTGTGTGTAAGTGCACAGAAACCTGAGTCCTTGTATCAGTCAGTGTCATTGCCGTGATTATTTCTGACATGTAATGATGTCTTAGTGGGGTTTGTGTTTGGTCTAAGGGTTATTATAGTTATTACCTGTTATTATGCTGTGTGTTTCTGTCAGTGGTTGTTAACTGTGATATCTGAGCCCTCTGTCGTGAGTGGCACACACACACACACACACCAGGACAGGAATGTCCCCGGCCACAGCCTGTTCCCATTACACCCCATTTCCTCTCAATCACAGAGAATCCCCACTCTGATTGGTTGGCCTGATTACTGCCGTGTGCTGATGGTCAGTGGGGGTGAAGTGAAGTGGGGGTAGGGTAAAGGGGGGTTGGGGGGGACGCAATAGGGCAAGGAGGGGTCACTGGAATACTGCTCTATGATCAGGGCCGCTATTCATAAAGCATCTCCGAGTAGGAGTACTGATTTAGGATCAGTTTTTCATTTTAGATCATAATAAATACCATTATATGGACAGGTAGGACCTGATCCTAGATCAGCATCTCCTACTCTGAGATGTTCTATGGAAAAGGGCTCAGAGGATCAGTCAGATCTGATACATATACAGGGCCCAGAGTTTTACCGGTTCAGACCACATGGTCAGGAACACCTTCTAGCTCCAGTTACATAGTCTGCTGTAACTCCTGGCTCCAGTAATATAGTCCGAGAAGGTTTGAATCCTAAGCAACCTGCATACACATTGTTTGAAGTACAATAGACCAACATAGCTACTGTAGTAGGTCAAAGCTGTGTGCTGGAAAACCTTGGTAGAGCATGGATGGAGTAGGCATTGTGGTGCTCATGTGAATTTCCTTAATTTTATTAGGTACACCCATCTAGTATGGGTTTGGACTTCCCTTTGCCTCCAGCCTGAATTCTTTGGGGCATGGAAACATTGTTGAATTGGTATCAAGGGACCTAACATGTGCCAGGAAAACATTCCCTACACCACCGCCACCAGCCTGTACCGTTGACACCAGGCAGAATGGGGCCATGGACTCATGCTGCTTTACGCAAAATCCTGACTATGCCATCAGCATGACGCAACAGGAACCAGGATTCGTCGGACCAGGCAATGTTTTTCCACTCCTCAATTGTCCAGTGTTGGTGATCGCATCCCCACTGGAGCAGCTTCTTCTTGTTTGTGGTTGTCTGCTGCAATAGCCCATCTGTGACAAGACCGACGAGTTGTGCGTTCCGAGACGCCGTTCTGCACACCACTGTTGTACTGCGCCGTTATTATTGTACTGCACCGTGAAAAGCCCAGGAGGCCGGCTGTTTCTGAGATACTGGAACCGGTGCGCGCCTTGCACCGACGATCATACCACGCTCAAAGTCGCTTAGGTCATTTGTTTTGCCCACTGAATGCCTCGATGCCTGTCTGCCTGTTTTATATAGCAAGCCACGGTCACGTGACTCATTGTCTGTAGGAGCGAACCATTTTCGTGAACGGGGTGGTGTACCTAATAAACTGGCCAGTGAGTGTATTTTTGTCTGCTGAAATGAAATTGTCAGTCATTTCATGGACTATGGGAAGTTATTTCAAGATGTTATAGTGGTTCACTGTAATCATGCATGGCTTCTACAAATACCAGGATAATGCAGTAATTGCACTATTTAAGGCCATAAACATTTTTTGAAGATTTAGAAGAGTAAGAAGAGGACCAATCAGTTTGGGCTTCTGATTCAAATCTAAAGAACTGTTGAAAAAATATTTGTGGCGTTGATTGTGAGTGCTTCTGTGTCATTTTCCAAGTTACCTCAATATGCATCTTTCCTCTCCTCTTTTCTAGGACAAAAAGCTGCGAGTCTTTGACCCAAGAGCCCAGCTGACACCTGTTCAGGTAAGTCACTCTACTGGACTCCACATCTCCCCTAACCCACACCAACAAACCAGAGCCATCATTCATTTCCATCCATCCAGTGAATGGAGGCTGCTGCTTGTCAGGGCTCATAGAATGAATGAGTAGATTAACAGTGAACAGGGGTGATACAGTGGGGAGAACAAGTATTTGATACACTGCTGATTTTGCAGGTTTTCCTACTTACAAAGCAAGTAGAGGTCTGTAATTTTTGTCATAGGTACACTTCAACTGTGAGAGACTGCATCTAAAACAAAAATCCAGAAAATCACATTGTATGATTTTTAAGTAATTAATTTGCATTTTATTGCATTACATAAGTATTTGATACATCAGAAAAGCAGAACTTAATATTTGGTACAGAAACCTTTGTTTGCAATTACAGAGATCATACGTTTCCTGTAGGTCTTGACCAGGTTTACACACACTGCAGCAGGGATTTTGGCCCACAGACCTTCTCCAGATCCTTCAGGTTTCGGGGCTGTTGCTGGGCAATACGGACTTTCAGCTCCCTCCAAAGATTTTCTTTTGGGTTCAGGTCTGGAGACTGGCTAGGCCACTCCAGGAACCTTGAGATGCTTCTTACGGAGCCACTCCTTAGTTGCCCTGGCTGTGTGTTTCGGGTCGTTGTCATGCTGGAAGACCCAGCCACGACCCATCTTCAATGCTCTTACTGAGGGAAGGAGGTTGTTGGCCAAGATCTCGCGATACATGGCCCCATCCCTCCTCCCCTCAATACGGTGCAGTCGTCCTGTCCCCTTTGCAGAAAAGCATCCCCAAAGAATGATGTTTCCACCTCCATGCTTCATGGTTGGGATGGTGTTCTTGGGGTTGTACTCATCCTTCTTCTTCCACCAAACACGGCAAGTGGAGTTTAGACCAAAAAGCTCTATTTTTGTCTCATCAGACCACATGACCTTCTCCCATTCCTCCTCTGGATCATCCAGATGGTCATTGGCAAACTTCAGACGGGCCTGGACATGCGCTGGCTTGAGCAGGGGGACCTTGCGTGCGCTGCAGGATTTTAATCCATGACGGCGTAGTGTGTTACTAATGGTTTTCTTTGAGACTGTGGTCCCAGCTCTCTTCAGGTCATTGCCCAGGTCCTGCCGTGTAGTTCTGGGCTGATCCCTCACCTTCCTCATGATCATTGATGCCCCACGAGGTGAGATCTTGCATGGAGCCCCAGACCAAGGGTGATTGACCGTCATCTTGAACTTCTTCCATTTTCTAATAATTGCGCCAACAGTTGTTGCCTTCTCACCAAGCTGCTTGCCTATTGTCCTGTAGCCCATCCCAGCCTTGTGCAGGTCTACAATTTTATCCCTGATGTCCTTACACAGCTCTCTGGTCTTGGCCATTGTGGAGAGGTTGGAGTCTGTTTGATTGAGTGTGTGGACAGGTGTCTTTTATACAGGTAACGAGTTCAAACAGGTGCAGTTAATACAGGTAATGAGTGGAGAACAGGAGGGCTTCTTAAAGAAAAACTAACAGGTCTGTGAGAGCCGGAATTCTTACTGGTTGGTAGGTGATCAAATACTTATGTCATGCAATAAAATGCAAATTAATTACTTAAAAATCATACAATGTGATTTTCTGGATTTTTGTTTTAGATTCCGTCTCTCACAGTTGAAGGGTACCTATGATAAAAATTACAGACCTCTACATGCTTTGTAAGTAGGAAAACCTGCAAAATCGGCAGTGTATCAAATACTTGTTCTCCCCACTGTACATTCTGTATGACTGTGACCTGCAGTGGGAGTAGGACCTGGCTCTCTGTGACTTTGTCTTGGAGGTCAGCGGTCAGCCTGACCCTCTGAGAACTGCCGGACCAGGGATCAGAGGGTTAAAGTGTGTTACTCTGTGTGTCTCTGTGTGACACTTCACTAGATGGAGAACTACAGGCATGGTCAGCTCTCCATCTCTTTCTTCTCTGTGTCGATTTAAAATGGCCGACCTCCAGACCACCATACCCTTCCCTCTGGAAGCTGCCCTGTCAGTCTGTAGGCCTCGCCCCACACTGTGCTGTGGTGGGATGGTGAAGGGTGAAGTTGCCCCTACAAGCTGATCCCAGATCTGTACGTAGGGGAAACTTCACCATGGAGCGTGGTGGGATGTCCTAGTCCCACTGAAAAACATGGTGGCTTTGGCCCAAAGCTCTCACCACTGTCCCTTCTTCCTGATTTATTTAAGTATTGATTCATTAGAACTGTACACAAGCTGGTTACCCGTGGGAACCAAGGGAAACATTATGAATGGTGTTGTTGGAGTTGGTGCGACCGTGAACCTTTGTGACCACTGGTTACTTCCTTACTGGGATTTATTGGAGTTGTTGACGATGGCAATCCTGTCCCAGCTTTTGGCCAACCAATGGTACTCCATCACAACCAGCAGGAATGGGGAACTGAGTGGAATTGAGGAGGGGGCACTCACACACACACAGAGGAGGGTTAGCAACATTGAGAAATTATTCTCACACTTTTCGGCGGCGGACGTCAAAGGGACCTCCCAGAGAGATGTCATTAGTGATCTAGTCCCTGTGTTAGGCTCCGTCTGCCATCTGTAAACAGAGACTGGCTGGAAAAACAATAAATGCCGATGCCAGCAGATTAAATATTACACACCGCTCAGCGCCCACCGCCCTGATGTAAATACCTGGAGGACAGCTCACTGCCAAAGAGGGTTTGTGTGTGTGTGTGTGTGTGTGTGTGTGTAGCT